GCTAAAAATTACCTTCTTAAAATTATATGTTTGATTAAGGATCTGCCCGAAACGCTATGCGTGCTATTGGCTTTACAAGATAATAAAACTTCAATGTTCTGTATTCTCATAAACCCAATGTACCTTCCTGAATATATATAAATAAATAAATACAATGAGTGCTTAAAAGTTATGAATCTCTTGGAGCTCCTCTGTTTCCAGACAGGAATCAAGGATGCACCAGGCGTTTCCCCTCTGGATCGCCACACTGAGGCGTAGAAACAAGAATTTGCCAGCCCTTGGGTCTCTGGTGATGTCAATGAGCCTGAAACCCTATTCTTTAAAAAAATCCCAAGGCGCTCCTTCCTCAGGGGGCATGCGTCTCAGATGCTATGGGAACATAGGAGTATTGACCTTCCAACCGCCTATATTTTCAAGCCTAACATGTATTGAATGTATAACCTGACTCCCTCTCCCCCGACGCAATGAATTATTATAATAAGAAAATACATGGTTTAGTTAGTGCTAAAATATAATATCTTTGTTACTCTTATAGAAAACGTATGCTTGAGGTAGTGGGGCAGACGAAATACTTTTAGTATATTGAGAACACACTTAAGGATCTATATCTCATTGCGTAACTTTCCATGAAATGCTCGCTTAGCACAGAATGTGACAGTTGTCATTAAATGTACCATAGTGCAACGATAATGTGGACGTTGCCGGCTTTGATATGGGACAGCCAGCATTCATCCTTCATCAGTCTTTGGCGGAACATTGTTAACTTCAGCAAAATGTCCCATCCAGCCATAAACTCTAAGATAGTAGTAAGTTTGTCTGTTAAAAATTATTCTCCTTCCCAGTGAGGTAGATAATATAACACCGTAATTGAAATAAAATTAAACTAATTATCATGGAGCAAGAACACACTCGCATCTCCGAAGTTAACCCAAGTCAGAGCTCATAGAGAGGGAGTTGATTACCATCTTTGATTGTCTCCGGGTACCCTGAGAGCATAAATATACCGTGAAATGCAACAAGATTTAGTCAAACAGAAACAAAGTCAAATTCACACGAAATCAACCTGTATTAACGTCAATATTATGTACCCGAAGTGATCTAACGAGCATCATCTTTAATGGCCTTGATGGGGACAGACAGGCGGTGGCTTGTCGAATGTGGCCTCTATATTACTGAAGATTTGGGTTCCCGGCTATATTCTGAACATGATCACTCTCTTAATATTGACTTCGGCGGAGTCAATAATTTGAGGAAACATGCACCCCACTTAAGTCATTGATAATCTTTAAACAAACATATATATATATATATATATATATATATATATATATATATATATATATATATATATATATATATATATATATATATATATATATATATATATATATATATATTGTATACATAATATTTTGGCCAGTATATTTGCCACCACTGAAACTGTAAACAATTATGATTATGGATTTTTATAGTAAAAAATTATGTAATGATTCATAATGAACCTATTTCGCAAAACATTTACAAAACATTCCTTCTTCACAACTCTGAAGGAACACAAACACAACAGGTACAAGTTTTTCTAGTTTCGACGCTCCGAAACGACACACAACAAGAGGGAAAATATTATGTCAATGGTTCCCAGAACAGTGTATTATAAGGACCTGTTAGCTTCGTTCTTCACCACTGGTTAACACAAGGCCCAGCGTTAGTGTTGCTCTCCTGGCAACCAGAAGAGTTCAACTCAACTACCACTCTTCCCTCTCGCCACCACCCTCGTGGTCCCTCTGAGAACTGTGATTGCATAATACATGACTTACGTCCTCACGTCCTCACAGTTCTGAAAGACAAATAAACAATGCTCATTACTGTACACTGTAGCTGTCAATGAACAGGATACAAAGCAAGAACTTGGAGATGGGCGCAGGGTTCACGGGGTCACTATCTCAAGGTCACGCCCCCAAGCATCGCTGGCTGTCTCACATCCTGCCTCACTACAGTAAACAAACCCACCCACAGTTGCTGGGGCACCACGAGTCATGCCAGATCTCCTGGCATGACTCGTAGCGTAAGTTGGAGGGTTTTTACGTGTCACTCTCCTTGTCTGACTATCGGATTTATTTACATTGGGACTTAGATTATGTTTATATTCTAAGTCCCTTTACTTATTAGTTATCTGGGGGTTCCTAAAGGAGGCAACCCAACAACCCTCAACTGTACTGTGAGGTAGATAGGTATCAGTTAATGTACATGGACTCGTGTAGTCCGACACGACCTGTCTACCATCCCTCCATGGCTGCAGGGTGATTACATCTGGGCTTTAGTGACTTGTTAATCAGCACAGCTGAAGTTCCCTTTGTGCTGGACACCCAACTGTAGCTAAACTTCTCTTGATGATGTCGTTGACTGCTTCATGTCAAGCAATATTTCCCTGTGACTTACGACAGATGAGACCATGACTGCCGTATTGGTCTGTTGACGCATATCAGCAGATTCATCGGTGTTCGGTGGAGATAGGGGCGGCAGCTCACATGGCAACACAAATGCTTTGATCCTGAGGGTCCAGGCGGGTGCCCAAGGCAGAATTAGCAGCAACCAACAAGAAGTCCCCAGCATGGGGGGCTTGCACAGCTAGGAGGATTGCTTTGATATGTAGACAATCCAGTTGTGGATGTGTAATTAAGTGATTCTGATTATTAGCCGGTAAAGATCAGATTATAAATGCATAAATTCATAAGAACGCAAAGAAAATCTGTTTAAATATAGTTGGTGTGTCAAGTTTATAGTGTGGTCGTGTAGTTATTATTGTGATAGAAACCTGGATATGTGTACAAATCCACTAGGGCCGTGACGAGGGTTCGAACCTACGTCCGAGAGGATCCCAGACGCGGCCTTAATCGACTGAGCTACGACATGGTAAAAGAATTTGGGCCCTTGTGGATTTGTTCATTTGATGCTTCACGCTATTGTGATTTCTGTGTGTACTGGATATGTGTGTTTATGATTATATGGGAGATGTATCAATACCAGAAAAAATCGTGTTATTTTCGACACTCATTATATTGGAAGAGAACAGTTTAGGATTGGGGAGATGGTTTGGTGACATTTGTCTAGATTTGGTTCGTCTAAGTACAAAAGAAAACGAGATTTTCTGTAACTATATAAGACAGTGCTGGACAAAGTATTTTGTCCAAGCATAACTGCCTCGGTAAACGTATAACCAATTTTATCATTTTTAAGTGCAAACACGATCGCTTGCCAAGACTCGCCTCCCTGCTGCACCAGATGAACGCAAGTAATCAAGTGTTGGAACACAAACACTTGCTACGATGTTGTTGCTCCTCTGACAGTTCTCTGTTGTGAGTTTCTATATACATATCAGTAAAGTTATTTGTTTTGCTAAATCGCTGATGATTTCTTACATTTTTTTAAAGATAAACTTTAGGAAAATTATTATTGAAAAATATGTTTTTTTTTTTCTGTGGGTTAGAGTATAATGAGAATTGCAGGATGATGTTGGTTTTAGCCGAGACAATTATACAATGCTGTGATCTTGCCTTACTAAAGACAAGATCACAGCATATTGATTACTTATACACCCCGATTACTACAAACTTTATCCTACCAACTGCAACAGCGACACAGGCAGCATGACGACGAGAAGTCAAGCCCAAAAGACGACAAAGAAGATATAGCATCAACTAGAAATATAACATCATTAAGGCAAAAGAAGAACAGTTCAAGAACGAAGAAAGAACTCTACACTATACTGGTCCCTCGCGCCTCCCAGATAACAGCGCCACGACTCACCACCCATAAACATCACTCACCATCCACACCACTGTAACATACCGACTACAGATCCAAAGTAAATGGGCTACTAAACTTTCCCTCCCTCTCGTACCCAATCCTCATCCTATATTTCCTGTATCTCAATACAACATCTCTCTTCCCTCCTCCTTACTAAACCTTTTGGTCACGAAACGAAACCTCGTATGATGGTGTTTGATGGCTTTTGGAGGTTATATTGTTTGTGTTATCTTGTTTTGTACGTGTCTTCCTCCCTGAGGAGTAGAGACTCATAAGCAGCTCAGGAATATACAATCAGATTAACAAAAATGAAAAAGAATTGTCATAGATATCGCATTGGTATGCAGGACACTTCTTCCATATGTGCTATGACTTGGCTTTATACTTCTAGAATATGGCTGAGTTTGTTGAGATATTTTTTTACAAAATGATGTTGTCTGTTGTCCAAGTCTTGTACCATATGACCGAGCGTGTTGTTCAATGCTATCAGTGTATGCTTGCTTCTTTAAACATATCACAATTTAGTTTAAGCTTGGTAAACATATGAAGAACTTGTTCACAGATAATTCCTGTCAACAACGTATAAACACTGACATTGCAGTCACCGTACTTGTAGTCATTGTCGTCATTTGCGATCATGAATTTATTTTCGACAAGACACACGCAACATATCGACACAGAGATAACGATAATTCCTCTGATCATCGCAAGACATAGATTCCTCTTCACAGTGTTGAAAAACGCGATGGCTGCTGGATCCAGGATCAAGAGCGCGTTCCAGTGCCACTTGTATTGTTAACCTCTGGCGCTGTTATCCAGCCTGATAGTCGAAGGATTTTTTCATCTGTTTATGATCAGGCAAGTTATCTATAATTTTGCCATACCTTAACAAATGCTCTAATACGTGGCATTAACCTTAACCAAATGACAAGAGAAACAATTAAGTACCTGATTGATATTTTATGTGATATTTCTACCAATTCACAGCATAACTACCGACACAGCTCCTATGGTCTGGCAAACTTTTAGAATTGTGGATCTAATATAAAGGGGGGTATTAGTACTTAATAAATCTCGTGAAGTTAAAGGAAGGTGGAAAATTGCGAATATAAGCAAATCAAGTGTGAACTTGGGCACTGTTTTCAAGGTCGTCGACCTAAACACGAGTACAAATTGGCCCCCTGACAGTTGCTCGTCTCACTCGGCTGCTCCTGCCCGCCCACAGTACTTCACTCCATATCACGGCACATTTTGCACTCCCAGGGGCCACTTCGCCCTCTCAACGGCCTGCTTGGCCCTGTCAACGGCACACTTGGCCCCCCACACCAGCATAATCATTCCACCAAGACCTTAGTTTTGCCGGAAGCAAGACGTCCGTGGTTGTCGCCATGAAGGGAGTGATCCTTCTAACACTCTTAGGTAAGCAGGAAGTGAACTCCAACGGTTCCTTTAAATACTCTTGTATTGGCTCGGCCTGGTTAGTGCTGGCCTTTAAGCCCGTCAACCACAGGAGGGTTGTTAAGGCCACAACAACAGCTTACTGACCAACTAGCAAGTAATAGGAATATTTTAATCCTAAATATATTTCAGGACCAAAATATAACTCTCAGTGTATAGAGCGGTGATTGGGGTGCATCTCACTGCGTATATATGGGTTACAGAGATATATTGATATTACCAAGTCTAGCACGGCTGTTAACTTGTCTGTCCGGGTCAACTATGGTCGTGAGTTCGCTTTATCATTTAACAGTTAAAGTGAAAAGTGTTGAAATAATTCCTGGAAAAATCTCAGTTAACATGGGCAGGAGTGGATACATGCGAACCACGGCCAGAAGTCAATAGTCATTTACGGATCTGCTACGAGCCTGTGCATCTTTCCGCAATCTTTGGCGATTTTGTTTACATTCATTAAAAATGTATAAGCTCCGAGGCTGTATATAACAATATCAACATTCGATTGGGAAGTTTCGATGCTCGTAAACTGTTTCATAAATGTAACCAAAGACGCCAAACATTGAGACAAGATGCAAAGGTCCGTAAATAGATGCGTAAATACGTGTTGAATCCCGGCCCACGCCACTAGGCATTTGCATGATATGGTACTTTTATAAATAGTAAACCATATCTGCAAGACAGGTTATAGATATGTAATATTTGATTACAGTTTCAGCACTTTTGGGTGATTGCTCACCAAGTCATCTTGAGGTTATCTTGAGATGATTTCGGGGCTTAGCGTCCACGCGGTCTGGTCCTCGACCAGGCCTCCTTTTTGTTACACACACCCCCAGGAAGCAGCCCGTAGCAGCTGTCTAACTCCCAGGAACCTATTTACTGCTAGGTGAACAGGTGCATCAGGGTGAAAGAAACTCTGCCCATTTGTTTCCGCCTTCGCCGGGGATCGAACCCAGAACGTTAGGGCTACGAATACCGAGCGCTGTCCACTCAGCCTTCATGCTTACCTATTTACTTTTGCACTACTCATCTTAAATCCAGATTCTCAATCCATAATCAGCTGATGTATAATTTTCAGATCCTATTCTTTGCTGCCATATAAATACATTTGGTGCTCTGAATGTAGGTTTCCTCAAGCAACCTAACTTCAATGTGCCTTTCATTTGTACACTCTTAATATATTGTTTACAATCTCTAATGATATTGTGGCTCATTAAGGTGTTTGGTTTCCATTTGTGTTCCGTTATTCGTGTACCACCTGTCGCTCCTGCCTATTTCTTCATTTTATAAGTTTAACATCATACAAGATGTTTGGTCGAAGGCTTCTGTCAGTCTAAACTATACAATCCACCCGCCGTATTTCTGTCTTGTTTGACCTCTGTCACTCAGTCATTGATCACTTATTAAATTTATGTCAGGATTTTAGAACTCTCAACCCATGCTGGACAGAATTCTGATAAATAAGTTCCCTTCCTCTGAAATATTATTTTATATAATAGCTTAACATTCACGACACTGAATCTCTATTTTCACTCATAAATGTCAACAGCTTTTGGGGCTTTACAAGGCCATCACTGAGCACACAAACTTCAGCTAGACGTAATGTAAGACGCGCCATATCATTATGAATGAGGAGGATAATGCTTAGGTGTTTTATCACCTTAGAGCCGGTCGGCCGAGCGGACAGCACGCTGGACTTGTGATCCTGTGGTCCTGGGTTCGATCCCAGGCGCCGGCAAGAAACAATGGGCAGAGTTTCTTTCACCCTATGCCCCTGTTACCTAGCAGTAAAATAGGTACCTGGGTGTTAGTCAGCTGTCACGGGCTGCTTCCTGGGGGTGGAGGCCTGGTCGAGGACCGGGCCGCGGGGACACTAAAGCCCCGAAATCATCTCAAGATAACCTCAAGATATCCACTGATAAAGGTGACCGTGTTGGTGTAAGATTACCATCAATCATATAAAAGGTCTCAGATGGAAAGCTTTTCTGCTAGTTTCAAGGAGACACGTCTGTATACGGAGATTATATAGCTGCCATTTTGACATGACTTATAAACATTGCAGCAAGTTTGTAAAATTAATATGTCCATTCCCTGGAAACACAAACCGAAACTGTCTTTATTTTCCGCTTGTTACAACTTGTAATAAAGTGGTTACATCTTGGCTTAACGTGTTTATGACGTATTAGAACGTTGTTGCAACTTGCTACATTGGTTGTTATAACTGGTTTGGTGTTAAAACTTGTTCGAACGTTGTACCAACGTCGTAGTTTCGGTGTGTGTTTGGCGGGTTCACAATGGCACCAGTGTGTGTTTACCAGTATGTTATATCTCTTGACAGGAGGATGTTGGGCCGTGTACCCGAACTTGGAGTACAAGTACAAGTACAGTGGCAGGATTGCCTCTGGTATTCCATCTCTCAAGGACCAGTACTCTGGAGCTGGTATCCAGGCCGATGTCACTATCCAGATATCAAGTGATCTCAAGACGTTCTTCAAGGTGAGCAACTATGGCAATACATTATGACATATGTGATACATTTTGCCAGGTGTGATACACTCTTCCGGGTGTGATACATTCTGTTAGGTGTGATACAGTCTTCTGGGTATAATACATTCTACCAGGTACCATTCTACAACGGTTGGAGCCGGTCGGCCGAGCGGACAGCACGCGGGACTTGTGATCCTGTGGTTCTGGGTTCGATCCCAGGCGCCGGCGAGAAACAATGGGCAGAGTTTCTTTCACCCTATGCCTCTGTTACCTAGCAGTAAAATAGGTACCTGGGTGTTAGTCAGCTGTCACGGGCTGCTTCCTGGGGGTGGAGGCCTAGTCGAGGACCGGGCCGCGGGGACACTAAAGCCCCGAAATCATCTCAAGATAACCTCAAGATAAGGTGGGCAGGTAGTGGTACAAAAATATATATATATATATATATATATATATATATATATATATATATATATATATATATATATATATATCATAAATCTTTCCTCCACTCCAGGGCAAATGGTAATATTATTTTTTACCGTTGTGAGATGATAAATTTCCCCTTCCAATATATCAATACTATTATCATATGACTCTGGTAAAAATAAATATTATATGAAAACATTGTTTAGCATTAAATCTTCAACAGCTGAGTAACACAGAGGTCGGTGAATACCACGACGAGTTGGAGTGTGACTCACGGGCCCCGCTGCCTATTGAGTACCGGCCCCTGGTGGAGGGCAAGGGACTGCTGGAGAAGCCCTTCGAGGTCCATACGGGCCAGCGGTTGGTAAGTGAAGAATGAGTTATCATTCATTTCTAGGCTGACTGCTATCTGCATGACTTGCTCGATCAACACGTAAATGCGAGTGAAATGTTGTTCATCGACAATATAAATTAAGACTCTGACACAGACTCGAGAGAGAGAGAGAGAGAGAGAGAGAGAGAGAGAGAGAGAGAGAGAGAGAGAGAGAGAGAGAGAGAGAGAGAGAGAGAGAGAGAGAGAGAGAGAGAGAGAGAGAGAGAGAGAGAGACAGACAGAGAGAGAGAGAGAGAGAGAGAGAGAGAGAGAGACAGAGAGAGAGAGAGAGAGAGAGAGAGAGAGAGAGAGAGAGAGAGAGAGAGAGAGAGAGAGAGAGAGAGAGAGAGAGAGAGAGAGAGAGAGAGAGAGAGAGAGAGAGAGACAGAGAGACAGAGAGAGAGAGACAGACAGAGAGAGAGAGAGACAGAGAGAGAGAGAGAGAGAGAGAGAGAGAGAGAGAGAGAGAGAGAGAGAGAGAGAGAGAGAGAGAGAGAGAGAGAGAGAGAGAGAGAGAGAGAGAGACAGACAGACAGACAGACAGACAGACAGACAGACAGACAGACAGACAGACAGACAGACAGACAGACAGACAGACAGACAGACAGACAGACAGACGGTCAGACAGACAGACAGACAGAAAACCAACCCGACAGTTACACTGACAGGCAGGCATACGGACAGACATATATACTGACCGATAGAGAAAAACATAGAGAAACAGATCGACCATGAAAGACAGAGGACATCCTTATACATTTAGGGAAAACCAGCAACTCGACCGTATTTCAAGAATGACCAATAACACAATCCCTTCTTTCCAGGGAGAGGAATACGTGAAGCTGCCTCAGGAACCAGCCTGGATCACCAACATTAAAAAAGCCCTCATTAGAGTTTTCGGTGTTCCACCCCTGTTGGTAAGGGGCGAGGATCTTGCGGGAGCTTAATGTCAAAGATCGAACAGAATAATGAAAATAGAGCATTAAAATGACACATTTACAAACTAATTCAACAATTTCTTTATCCTCTAACTTCTGTTCCAGGGACATACCGGGGGACGTGTGAACGCCTTCAAGCAGACTACCTTCAGCGTGAACGAGACGATGATACATGGAGATTGTTTGAGCTGGTAAGCTACACAGAAGTAAAGAGAGATAGATAAATATATAGATCTATTTACATATATTTTTACGTCCTTCTTACAAATTGCTTTTTAAGCCACTCAACCTTGTATGTCACCATATCCCGTCAGTCGTCACTTCCTCCTACTGTTACTGCTTCTACTACCATCCCTCGAGTCTTGAAGTCCTAGTTCTCGCAGCTGTCAAAGCCACTAGCAACGTCTCACGGACCTCTCATGCCGACAGGTACTCTATGATCCACCTGAATAAGGAGCAAGCAGCCCAGGAGGACCGTCTCAGGGAGGCAGCGATGGAGGAAGACGTCCAACGTGACCAAGAAGACTTTGAAAGGTGAGGCTTGTAATTACCATACTGCTCTCCTGAGATGTGCTCTGTCAGCTACAATGGGAGCTGGATGTTCTGTATTCGTCTGCTAGATAGTTAGCTGTGGTTATTTGAAAGTTTACTGTTGATAGCTGCATGAGAATGCTTGATTTGTTGGGCTATGGATATGGATACAATTGTAATTTTATGTATCTATTATATTGGTGTTTTTACTCAGGATATTTCATTCGATGGTATGGTTTATGTGCAGAAATGATGAGATTATTGATTGAGCCTTCCTGTTTGTATATTATTAATCGCACTGAAAGGGAGATGTTGTCGTCTTGTCTTTATATTGAGATCGTTGGGGGTTCATACTTCTCAAATGGGCATGTAAAAGTATTAATGATATTAATCCTTTTTTTCTGTGGCATTTTGTGTAATTTCAAAGGAGTTCTTCATGATCAAGTATTATTGAGAACATCATATTATACTACCTTTCTGGACTAATGCTATGATATAGTCATTGGAAAAGTTAATTTGGTGACTTTCTCCTCAATAGAAATCCCTTTCTAACCGAAAAACAAAGTGACTACAAACTAAATTGAACATTTTGTTCCATTGTCAGTTATACGGCATTAAAAGATCCGTCGAAGAGTTCAAAAAGCCACAGTTCCAAGACTAGTAAGACGACCGGAACCAAAACGACAGGATCGCAGACTGGTCCTGCCAAGCTCTCGGTTCCTGACCGTATTGACAACACCCTCTGGAGAATGACTCGAACTGTCGACTTTGATTCCTGTGAAAATCTTGTCCAATGGAAGGTAAAATTTGATTTGTCATCAATTTCTATACAATATAAAGTGATTAGTTCTAGCATTTAATTTCATATGTTTTCCTTTAAGTAAGATGTCTTTTTGCTTCCGTTATTATTCCGTCATTGTCTTTTTTCAGCAGTTATGATAGACTAATTACAATGTATCATGTTTATTACACAGCGACCGGCCAGTGAGTTTATCACCATTCCATTGTTTCACTGAAACACAGTTTTAATCGAACTTAAATTTGAAAGAAATATTTTTATGCAATTTGATGCAAATTTGATATAGTAAATCAAATGAAAGGCTAAAATGAAACGTACGTCTGCCGAAGTCTGTTTAATAAAATAATTACGCATTGTTTAAACAATAAATCTAGCCTTATTAAACGTATTTTTGGCTAACTTAACCCAACTGTAGATATTGGTTACTATGAGAAAATCTCACCTTGTCAGAATCAATGATGTTCACGTGACGGCAAGAGTTACATTACCATTGACACGGGATAGGTACAGCGCCTGATTTAATCGAATACGAAAAATTGCAGAGAAAAGTTTAGATTAGAAACTTAAGACATACCGTCACCTCCAGATACACGGCAACAAGAAGACGGATTCATATATCGAACGCACTTCCGTCGGGACCTACCTGCTTCGAGGCGACCAGACAGACGTTCGTATAGAATATGCTCTCATCGAGGGCTCCATCAGTGTGTTTACCGGCCAGCTGTCCTCTGAACATATCTCCACCTTCACTAATCTGGTAATTTATATACAGCATCTCTTGATACTTTATCTTCCTCTAACATGAACATTTTATGTCATTTTAATTTATGGTTTTCCTTCAGCATTTAACTATATTACTCATCTATATTATTTGCATATATTTGTAACAATCAACTTTAATTAATTTCAATATGAATAATATTTGTTTTATTCTCTTCTCCTCTCCAGTTATCTCTGTTTCTCCAACTCTCCCCGTCCCTTCTTTCTCTCTTCAGTCTTCAATCCTCTTCGCCTCTCTTCATTCGTCTTTTTTTTTCCTCCCTCTTTACACCCAGCCATCTTCTCATTCTGCCTCTCTACTGTTCTCCTATGTCTACCTCCCGTTTTCCTCTCTCCTTACCCCTACCTTGTCTTCCTTTCTTACACGGCATCCCTCCTCCTCACGGTAACTCTCTTACACAGAAAACACCATAAAATATTCATTTATTGTTAACCAAACCACACACTAAAAAGTGAAGGGACGACGACTTTTCGGTCCTCCCTGGACCATTCTCAAGTCGATTGTGAGATCGACTTGATAATGGTCCAGGACGGACCGAAACGTCGTCGTCCCTTCACTTTCTAGTTTGTGGCTTGGTCAACATACTTCAGCCTCGTTATTGAGATTCCTCGTCTATATATTCATTTAGTGGTTCCCACCATCTTATGTTCCATAGACGCTGGAGTTGAGAGCAGTTCGACGCATTCAGAAACTGTTTACCATTGACTATGAGAGCCAGAAGCACCGGTCACTCAACTACCAAGTCGATCTTCTATCATATACTTCGGTAAAATAAAAACTTGATTTGTATTGTGGAAAATGGTTGAGAAGTGCCACTAAATAAAAATTAAAAGGAAGTATTTCTACTAATTTAATGTGCCAGGCGAAAAATATATATCATTAGTCCTCCTTACTTGATTCATTTTACTGTTAAGTTCTAATATTTTACTTTTAATTATGCCTGAGATTCTGCTACTTTTTTAATTGAAATAATTAACATTTGTTCTCAAAATATAACCTATTTATGCTGAACGTCACCGAGCAATTCCAGGAAGGGCCACACCGGAAGGTACACCGCAGTGTGGAGGAGAAGATCACGGGAATAGTCTTCACTACTGAAAGAATCACCGAAATCAAGGTCTGGACTTGGTGATATCATAGAGATATTTAAATGGAATAGCGATAATAAAAGAGGGTGAGGAAAGAGGAAATATATCTCAGGGGGGGTGAAGAGATTTTGGTTATTTGTATATATATATATATATATATATATATATATATATATATATATATATATATATATATATATATATATATATATATATATATATATATATACATATATATATATGTCGTACCTAGTAGCCAGAACGCACTTCTCAGCCTACTATGCAAGGCCCGATTTGCCTAATAAGCCAAGTTTTCCTGAATTATTATATTTTCTCTAATTTTTGTCTTATGAAATGATAAAGCTACCCATTTCATTATGTATGAGGTCAATTTTTTTTTATTGGAGTTAAAATTAACGTAGATATATGACCAAACCTAACCAACCCTACCTAACCTAACCTAACCTATCTTTATAGGTTAGCTTAGGTTAGGTAACCGAGAAAGTTAGGTTAGGTTAGGTTAGGTTAGGTAGGTTAGGTAGTCGAAAAACAATTAATTCATGAAAACTTGGCTTATTAGGCAAATCACGCCTTGCATAATAGGCTGAGAAGTGCGTTCTGGCTACTAGGTACGACATATATATATATATATATATATATATATATATATATATATATATATATATATATATATATATATATATATATATATATATTCATGAAAGATGCAGAGAGAGAGAGAGAGAGAGAGAGAGAGAGAGAGAGAGAGAGAGAGAGAGAGAGAGAGAGAGAGAGAGAGAGAGAGAGAGAGAGAGAGAGAGAGAGAGAGAGAGAGAGAGAGAAGGAGAGAGAGAGAGAGAGAGTGAGTGAGTGAGTTTGTAGCCATCATTACTTTCCTCATTTCAGAACCTGATCATCAGCCGCATCGATGAAATAGCCATAAGACTAACCACTCGTCCGTTCAGCAACGACCTGCTGGTTAGCGACATGAGCCTCCTGGTGGAGGCTGCATCTGTTCTCAGTCGACCAGAGATCGATGAAGTGTATTCCAAGATAGACCCAGACGACCTGTACATTAGAAAAATGTAAGTCATTATTAATGTAAATAGTGATGAATGATATTGAGATAGAAGTTATGTACGTAATAAATCTTGAGATAGTTTCAAGGACATTTAGATACGTCATAATAAACATAAATATATTATGGATTTTGAGAGCACTCATGTAGATTTTTTAAAGTGATTCAAGTTCTTATTTGCATGATTTTAATTTTAAAACATTTGTTTATTAGCACTACAAACACGAGTACAGTTGTCTCTGACTGTATTTTGTAATAAAAACATATTCATTATTAAGAGACAAAAAACAAACCTCTTTGGCATGTGCACGAGAAACATACATGAATTCATAAGCACGAACATGAGCATGCACATGCGCACACATACACCCACACACAGGAATAGACAAAGGCACACACATATTCACTCAAACACTCATATACACACAGACACACAAATACTGGGGATGTGTGTGTAATAAATAAAGACACACACACAGACACACACACACACACACACACACACACACACACACACACACACACACACACACACACACACACACACACACACACACACACACACACACACACACACACACACACACACATAGGGGCCTCGTAGCCTGGTGGATAGCGCGCAGGATTCGTAATTCTGTGGCGCGGGTTCGATTCCCGCACGAGGCAGAAACAAATGGGCAAAGTTTTTTTCACCCTGAATGCCCCTGTTACCTAGCAGTAAATAGGTACCTGGGAGTTAGTCAGCTGTCACGGGCTGCTTCCTGGGGTGTGTGTGTGTGTGTGTGGTGTGGGAAAAAAAAAAAAAAAAAAAAAGTAGTTAGTAAACAGTTGATTGACAGTTGAGAGGCGGGCCGAAAGAGCAAAGCTCAACCCCCGTAAAAACACAACTAGTAAACACACACACACACACACACACACACACACACACACACACACACACACACACACACACACACACACACACACACACACACACACACACACACACACACACACACACACAAACACACACACACACACACACACCCACACACACACACACAAACACACACACACACGTGAGTATGTAAATGATATTCACATTTCCGCTAACTGCATTATCTGCATATATTTTAGAGATATATTCTTCGAGGTGCTGATCACAGCCGGCACTGAGCCTGCTGTAAGATTCCTACTGGATAAGTTCAGGGAACCAGAATTCAAAAAAGACCATTTCGAAGTTATGCACAGTTTCTTAGACTCCTTTGCAACCTCTGTCAAAGACGCTCAGCTCATTTCCGAATTAATCGTAAGTTTTCGTTGGTTGTGAATATATTTTGATGAAATTAAAATTGATTTCGTTTCATTTATAAATTGTCCTGTGAATTTATAAAACAGATTTAATTTACAACTCATTGTGTATTACTCCTCAAGGATCTGGAACAATCACTTACTTGGGATGAAGACGATCAACTCTTGAAGATCTCTGCGTTGGGGAACTTGGCTTCGCTGGCCAAGCAATTGTGTCTGTTCTCTGACAAGTGGGAATCTTTCGGGAACTACGCCTGTGATCCTCAGTATACCTGTTCCCCAGATATCGTCTTTGACAACTTCCTTCCAGCACTGATTCAAGGCGTTCAGGTGAGTCATCTTGCTCGCTTTTTTACTCATAAGCAATAACTGTAACAAACTTTAACGTAAGATTCCAAGAACTGGTTCAAGTTGTCTTTCAAGATCTTGCAAATCACCTTGAAAGTGCTTTGCAACTACCAAGGTGGCGTATAAAGAGCCTGTTTTACCAGATTCCCGAATGGACAAATTTCTCAAAGTTCTAAAACATTTCCTTCTCATCAGGATGAGGAATCACCTGTATGGAGAAGACTGGTGTACATCCAAGCACTTGCCAATCTGGGCGCTCCTCAGATCATCAACATTCTCAAGCATTTCGTTCTTGGAGACAAAGAAAGGAGTCTGGTCCTGAGGATGAATGCTATCCTTAGCCTCACTACGGTGTATCTTCAAAAAGCGGCCCACAATGAGGTAAGAAATTCCCTCTTTTTATGGAAATTTGTGCTAAAGTGTTATTTGAAAGAAATTAGAGTTCATACGCCATTTTCATCATGCAATAATCTATTTTTATTAGCATAAAATTAATAATGAAAGCAGTCTGGTAAAACACACCAGATTAACATAGGCAAAATGTGTTCATGTTGTTTTTGATGTTCGAGGGAAGAGATAAATGTGTCGTTCGTGCTTCAGGTGTTCAGCCTCCTGATGCCAGTGTTTGAGAACACCGGGGAACACTACGAAATCCGCATGACTGCTTTTCTGGCCATGAGCACCTATGAACCCAGCCTCACATGGTGGGAGCGGATGGCTGTCTCTACCTGGCATGATCCCTCATCCCAAGTGGCCAACTACGTCTCTTCCACAATCACCTCTCTCGCTAATGCCAAATATCCCTCGTGAGTACTCAAAGCCAAGGAATGAAGCTAGATTAAGATTCTCCCATTATTTCTCGAGGTTCGGACTAATTACAATGTAAATACCTCTTTAGAGGCATTTGATAATGACGAACCCAAACGTTGTCGTCTCCACATTTTCTGGTGTGTGGTTTGGTCTTCATACCTCCTTAGTCATGGTTCCTTTGTCGGTTCTGAATGTAAGTGAATATCTGGATCATGGTCTGAATTTCCAGAAATTGCCAACCATTGTAATAATTCACAACCAGCTAACAAAGAGGCAGCTGATGTATTATTTCATGTGGGAATAATAGGAAATGACATTGCAGACGAAGCTGCAAAACTTGCAACTAAGAGAAGAAATGTAGACATTTACATACCACAGAGTCTATCACAGATTAAGAAAGTAATTAGAAACAGAGCAATGCAAAAGACGTACAGTGACCACAACACAGCAGTTGCAACATCAGGATCTGCGGGTTGGTACAAGAATTCAACCAACTACGAACCACTTAGTTTCATGAAAGGGAACAGTAGAGTAACAGAAGTACATTTACATCGCATCAGGCTTGGATACCCATGTGCATGGGAAATAGGCTTACAGGTTCCGGAAGATGAGAGAAAAATGTCAGCACTGTGGAGAAATGCCCGACAGACCACTGGAATATTATCTAACACAGTGCACAGTTACAAACCCATTAAGATTTCAACTTAGATTCAACAGAGCAGAAGAAGTTGTTAAACACATATGGCAAAATCTTACTGAAGCGACCTTACGAGTCATAAATACTCATACTCCGCCCAAGTAAAACAGAAACAAGCAACACTTAGTGGGCCAGCCAGAGGCTTAGGGCCCGCGAAGGAATATCCCTGCAAAAAAAAAAAGACTGATGTATTTAAATATTACCTGGTCACTAATTCCGTGGCTAATCGTAATGTCAGTGTCTCATTTAACATATGGATGAGCGTCACTCATCCTGCTAAAAAAATATATTGATATAGCAGCAAGTATAACACAATATATTGACATAGGAGCAAATATAGCGAAATATATTGACATATTAGCAAGTATAGCACAATATATTGACATAGCAGCAGGTATAGCACAATATATTGACATAGCAGCAAGTATAGCGCATTATATCGACATAACAGCAAGTATAGCACATTATATCGACATAGCAGCAAGTATAGCACATTATATCGACATAGGAGCAATTATAGCACATTATATCTACATAGCAGCAATTATATCACATAATACCTACATAGCAGCAAGTATAGCACATTATATCTACATAGCAACAATTATAGCACATTATATCTACATAGCAGCAATTATAGCACATAATATCTACATAGCAGCAAGTATAGCACATAATATCTACATAGTAGCAATTATAGCACATTATATCTACATAGCAGCATTTATAGCACATAATATCTACATAGCAGCAAGTATAGCACCCCACAATTGGAAAACTGCTGGATTGTTGATCCTTTCACTTGTATCCGGACGAAGCTGGAAGCTGTTTAACTGTTTTAAGTGAACAGATCGCTATACATGATTAATATTGATCAACTATCAGGCTTACGTTATCTGGCCGACACAGAGATGGAGAATCTATAAATAACATATATAAATCTGTTTATATCGATATATCTTATATTCGACAAATATATATGTTGAGTATATATATTTCGCAGGTCCAGAAATGCTGCACTTGTGGTACCCTTGACCAAGCCACCAGCTCACCTCTCCCTCATGCACTCTGCCATGAGTTACCTCAACGATTACCTCTACAACTGCAAGGTAAGATGACTTACCTCAACGATTACCTCTACAACTGTAAGGTAAGATGACTTACCTCAATCAACACCTATACCACTGCTGGATAAAATTCCTTTCCCATAATGATAACCACTACAATTCTTTAGTAAGATTATTTCCTTAAAAGATTTATTTGACTTACCCAATAAAAATGTAAGTGGCAGCTAGAAAGTCATCTGATATGTATATGATGAGTTTTATACACAAAGATATTGTTGTGATACGACAAAAAGTTATAGATAAAACTTTTCAATATATATTTTTTGTGTGTGATATTTATGCACAGTCGAAGACCCGCCTTTCCTTCGGGTGGCTGAGCAGTGTGAAGGGCGTCTTCCCCTCTAAGCTCCTCCTGCACCTGCAGATAAACACCTTGCTCGGATTCACCAGAGAGATCAGAGTAGGTTTATCAAGATGTCTATGTATAGCCATACAGCAAATGAGTGTGTGTATGTGTGTGTGTGTGGATGGGTCCTTGCTTGTGTGTATTCGTAGCAGTGTACCCTGTTGTGCCTGAGTGACTTGACCTGAGTGAAGTATGTGTTTTTTTGTGTATAATAATAATAATAGTAATAATAATAATAATAATAGTAATAATAATAATATTAATAATAATAATAATAATAATAATAATAATAATAATAATAATAATAATAATAATAATAATAATAATAATAATTCTTATGTACAATATATACATTCTGTACAAGTTTCTGGAAACCACGACCTCCGTTTATATTAAAAAAATACGGAAAGTATATTAGATGCAGCGGAAATCAATCCAAGAACGTGCATTTCTAACATGCCCTTTTCCACTTCCAGGCGATCATTCACGAAGAAGGTGTAAATAATTTTATGAGAACGATAGCCGTTCGCTTAAACGGGACGATTCAAAGCAGTGAAATTGAAATTGTTCAAGAAATGTTTACTGAAATCATGGTAAGATGAATCTACAGGTCTGGATGTAATGTTAGAACTCATTAAATAGTTGAAACCAAAAATATTATCATTCATTACAAAATGTGCATAAATTCCCAACATCTCATACCAAAAGGCTCCAATTAAACTGGATTTTAAATAATTATAACATTCTCAAAATAGATGCATTCATCTGTCTATCGCCATTTTCCCTCCTTTTATTATGAATCTATAATGTCATGATGCAGAGGTGATTCAGAGAGTTTTTGACAAGCACGAAGTTAGCTCAAGCCGTGTCCCCAAGACTATCCCCTTGATCATCCTCTTTTCTGTTTAAAAACTTACGAAATCACCGAAAGTGTGTCCAATGAGTTCTATATCTAGTTCATAGTTGATGGCAGCGAATTTGGTCCAGTAGAGGGAAGGGAATCTTGGAATCCCATTCCAAGATTCCCTTTTAGAGAGGGATTCCCTCTTAGAGAGGGATTCCCTCTCCAAAGACATCAGGAAAGTTAGGGAGTATTAGTTACCAATGCTTCGACTGTGCATTTTATTCAACAATTCACAGAACTACAAAAAATAATAGTAACATAATAAGGTTTTCACAAAATATAGTAACAAGTACTCTTGCCATGTCAAAGCTAAATTTTTATCGGTATCGTAAACATTTCCCTGTTACAAATCTCTGTACAGAAAAATGTATATTCTTGCTTGCAATATATGTTGCATAATTAAATAAAAAAAAATATATATATACAAATATAATTTGTTTGTATTATAATTGTAAATAATTGTTTATATTTTTATAATTAATTTATGTATTAATATTATCATTTGTATTAATTTGTATAATTTTCTGTTATCATAATAGGAACAACTGGACTTCATATATCACGAGGAGCCTTCAGATATCCGATTCTATGCCAAGTATAGGGATTCAATATCCCTTTATCTACATCAAAGCAACAGTTACTTAAGTATGTACTTCACTCCCCCCCCCCCCACACACACACACGCGCGCACACACACACACGCGCGCACACACACACACACACACACACTTCCCGCACGAGGCAGAAACAAATGGGCAAAGTTTCTTTCACCCTGAATGCGCCTGTTACCTAGCAGTAAATAGGTACCTGGGAGTTAGTCAGCTGTCACGGGCTGCTTCCTGGGGTGTGTGTGTGTGTGTGTGTGGTGTGGAAAAAAAAAAAAAGTAGTTAGTAAACAGTTGATTGACAGTTGAGAGGCGGGCCGAAAGAGCAAAGCTCAACCCCCGTAAAAACACAACTAGTAAACACACACACACACACACACACACACACACACACACACACACACACACACACACACACACACACACACACACACACACACACACACACACACACACACACACACACAACATAAAATTAGGTTCAAATAAATAACAAGCAAACTTGCAGCGAACCAAAACTAGTAAGACACACCTCAGTTAATACTCAACATCAGTAGTTTATTCCGAAAATCAATTGGAGCAATGCAGGGGATTCGAACCCTCGACTTGGGTACTCCCGAGCCCCCCACTTTACACGTGGATCACAACAGAGTGTAAGTTATACAACCTGTAATCCCAGTGAATCCACACGACGTCTTGAGGGAACCAATGAAGCTAGTCCAGGCTTTGATTTTTCATTAATGTATCACGTTAGTATGGGATTTTCTCGTGCATGTGAAGCTTCAGCCTATGGTGGGAAACTCCATTACCTGTTCCAGACTGCATGGAAGCTATATGTAAAACCTGAACTGGCTTCACTAGGGACCAGGGACCAGATTCACGAAGCAGTTACGCAAGTACTTACGAACCTGTACATCTTTTCTCAGTCCTTGGCGGGTTTGTTTACAATTATTAAACTGTTAATGAGCTACGAAGCACCAGGAGGCTGTTTTCATCAATAACAACAGTTCATTAGGAAGTCTTCATGCTTGTAAACTGTTTAATATATGTAACTAAAGCCGTCAAAGATTGAGGAAAGATGAACACAATCGTAAGTACTTGCGTAACTGCTTCGTGAATACGGGTCCAGTTACTCTTTGCTACACGCATAAAACCTTGTTCCGTTTCTCTTTACTCTAGATTCCCTGGTGGCATCGTCGGTCCCCAACATGAAGCGGGACGTGGAATACATTGAGGTGCTGCCTACCGACCTTGGTCTTCCCTTCATGATTCAGGTGAGTTCGTGGGAGTTACAGTTTGGCCCTTACCTGCGACAGGTTATCTTGAGATGATTTCGGGGCTTTTTAGTGTCCCCGCGGCCCGGTCCTCGACCAGGCCTCCACCCCCAGGAACCAGCCCGTGACAGCTGACTAACTCCCAGGTACCTATTTACTGCTAGGTAACAGGGGCATTCAGGGTGAAAGAAACTTTGCCCATTTGTTTATGCCTCTTGTTTCTGCCATTTGTTACGAGGCCCCTTGACGTGGTGTGTGGGAAAGCTATCTATCTTAACGAGCTATCTAGCTATCTAGCTATTTATTTTAACTATCTAGCTTAACTGGGATGATATGTTACAATTTTTCGCTTAGTAGTCTTGGGAGAGATGTTCGAGTTGAATTTGGTGGGAAATTAGCATTTCTTAGGCGCATAAGAATGATCACCTCACTGATGAACTCAACCTCCAGAATGATCACCCACACTGATGAGTTCAACCTTCAAAGAGTCAAAGTCACGATGAAGGAGTTTTTAAATTATACTTTTAAGTTAAGTGAATTACTCCTCAATAAGGTCGTTAAAAGCTGTATTAATCGTGTTTCGATAACGTAAATATTTCGTGAATTTTTTTTTATATATAAATGATTCACATAAAAATTAGAGTAAAAATTCATCAGTAAAAATTACAGCCTTCTGTGAATTGTTTCCAATGAGTGTGTATTTATTAGATAGAATACAAATATTATTATGAGCCATTACCATGGATAAATTACCTGAAATCCTTGCACTGTACCCACATTTTGCTTCCAGTAGATGAACGACATATGAGATTCAGAAACAAGTAGTGTATTGTGAGGACTAATAATAAACAGAAGCTCCCCTATGACTCTGTAATATCCCCATTGGCCAAACTATTATGTGTTAGCGATAAGACCTACCATTAATGTATGATGACTTACTGTAAATATGTAGCTCTTGTAATAGCACTTTCTCTGTAACTAGCTGACATTGTGTGAAGGTGTGAAGGATTGAAGAAATTGTTTATGTAATAATCTAAGATGAGGTCTGATAAAGACCTTTTGTGCCCTCTGTAATGCTTTTGCGCTACCGCTCACAGGATGAGTATGGGGTGCACAATAAACTAGCCGCCTTCGGCGGTAACAATGAAGCACAGTCAACCAAAATGTTTCTAGAGCATTTCCTCCATTCACTGTCCACTGTGTTCTCGTCTCTTTCGCTATGATGATCCGTTCCATACACACGTGTATGAACCAGATCATCCACAAAATGAAAACATATATTTTCTCTGGACAAAGAGTTTCAATATGAATAAGTTCTATCCTAATTACATTATTCTCTATTTTTGCAATCTCTAATTGTATCATAAATGATGACAAAATTGGTCCTTCAGGAGAAAACGTGATGCATTATATATGAACGCAAGCTTATATGTATATTGCATCGTATTTAAATTTGTCTTTTTGAGTACCATCAGTATCACTATCTAAAGAGCATTCCACACTCTGGATGGAGCATTATGCTGTATGCTTTGTCTTTGCAATATGGAATTGTGATCCTGTTAAATTAAGTCATTTTTCTTTCAGCATGTTCAATTTACTATTATAAATTGAAAACTTTAACCATATATTCTTACGTATTATCTGTTTGATAAATGTAACACATTAATGTTTATTGATTTTCTCTGTTTTATTTACAGTACACTGAACAAAACGCCTTGTGGATTGAACAAACTGATGCAGACATGAAGTTGATATCCGGTGTATTGCAATACAACTCATATCTTACCATTGAGTAAGGTCTTCAAGCTTGCCTAAGTTTCATTAACTCGCTTAATATTGTGGCTCTGTTTTCAATGGCTTAATTTAAAGAATAAATATTGTTTTATTAGAGTACAAAATCTAATTTCAGTCAGATTCCACAGTGAGTAAGTGGTAAGGTATTTTTGTTCACTAACATTGCAGGGAAGACCCAATTTTCAATAAAGTTAAGCTTCATTGATAATTCACATAAATTACTAAAAATAGTGGAGAAAATTGGCTCGAATACGTGTGTGTGTAGAATTTGACAAAGAGCAAGATAAAGTTTCTATACAGAACCAAGTGAAAGGTACTGCTAATAGTTCTATATGTCAGGTTCTACCTATAAATTATTAATATATATATCAATCGTATTCAAATAAATATATATATCAATCTGTAAAAAGAGTATTGTCTGCAAAATATGATTTTCAGGGAAAACATATATGTATAAATATTATTTATGATGAGAGTTATTAGGTAACTGCAATTGCAATCCTTCCTCCTAATCCTATCCTTAAATAGCTTGAATGATATTAATTCAGGCACTTTTGGATACGTTATCCATTTTGGATAATTATTCTATTCAATAATTTACCGATATGCCGGATATATTTCAAGCAATGGTATCATATTCTGCGCATATTCATTCGTTCCACTTCAACCCTCAGCTACAGCGAGGACAACACACTGGAGACCAAGACGCTTTTGCCATGGTCACAGAAGTCCGCCGTGGGAGCTGGTCTCCATAATGCATTCTCATTGGTCCTCCCTTTTCACATTCCCTTCGGTGATCTTCCGGAAAACATGATACTACTTTACTTTGAACCTCTACACAATAGCACGGTGAGATATACGAACCACTAACACACGTTTCGTGTCAGTTAAGAATGCTAACGACATCGCTTGATAAGACTCCAGACACCCAACCCATAAACCTGTAAATGAAGGTTATGGGGATGTTTCGGACCGTCGTGGACTATTATCAAGTTTATTACACGATTTGACAATATTCCAGGAAGCACCGAAACGTTGGCCCGTCCATTATTTTCAGATTGTGCGTTAACTGGCTAATTTCCAGGCACGTTATTGTCCAATAAGACTTCTAGTAACTAAATGGAAGGATGTTTATATTGCGTAAACGACATTATAACAAATTATTCATACTAAAGATTCTGGTCAAGTTATACTGAATAAATCCAGGAACTAGGATATCAAGGTATATGCAATTCTTGACTATTTTATTATATATTTTTCTCGCACATGAAATTCAGTTGTGTATTTTAAGAGTATTCTTAAAATACATTCCCGAAACTGCAAGATCCATTCCAGTATTGTAGTTGTAAATCAACATAAATTACGTATTTTTTTTCAACAAATGTATTTCAGACCAATGTTATTACACCAGAAGTAAACTTTATTTTTTTTTCGTCATAAATCGTTTCATTAAAATAATCACATACTTGTGTATTCCAGGTCCAGTTGCTCAACTCTCACAACTACCCATTCACTGTGATGACTGGCCCCTTCCCCACCGCTGTCCACACCCAACACTCTGAGTACAAGAAGATCAGCGCCGTTCCCTTGGAAAATTTCGTGGTAAGACTCAGTGTTCTTAATTCTCAGAGCACGGCAGAAACACAAACATAACCTGCTTCTTACCCAGTATATCTCTTGACGTTTGTAAACTTGATAACAGGATATTATATGTTAAAAATAAATATGTTTATTCAGGTAAGGTATATACATACAAGTGATGTTACATTAATGGATTGATATATAGATAGAGCTAGTACATACAATGCCTAAAGCCACTATTACGCAATGCGTTTCGGGCATTATCAGACTAATGCTCTCAGCTCAGCAATAATGTGTTACTAATACTTCATTTACTTCCTAACTTCTGACCTCAGCAGCGACGTGGTCACGCACTACCATCTCTCATCGGTCTCTCGGTTGAGACCTACTGGTCAGCAGACTTTCCGCATCCAACCACCATTTTCAGGTAAATAATGACTGCTAGGACTCGAGAGGTTTTATAACAAACATAATTCCAATCTGCATTTCATATTGAAATATTTCTTAAGCGTAAACAATATATTGTGTACATATATATTGGACCCTTGTCGAGCTCCCACGTGTGTTTGCACATATTGTCTTCTCCTACCACCCCCTTGTATATTGTAATAGTTTATGCTGTTGCATATTTGAAGAAGAAACATATCTGTTATCTTCAGCGATGATGTCGATCCGTTCACTCCAGCCTACAAGAGTTGGAACTACAGTCTGGTGTGGGACCCGATGACTTCTACAACCAAGACTATCAATCTTACCTTTACACATGGTAACAACTGGAGGTCTACTTTCTGGCTATATTGTAAAAAAAATGCATTCACACATTACATACACCTCACATAAACACAGACATATATACATACACTTCACACACACACTAAGGGGGCCTCGCCTAATGAGATATAGGGGCCTCGCGGCAGAGTGGTCAGCGCTCTGGGGTCGTAGTCTTAATGACCTAGGTTTGGTTCCCGGCGGAGGCGGAAACAAATCAACAAAGTTTCGTTCACCCTGATCCACCTGTTCACCTAGCAGTAAATAGGTACCTGAGAGTTAGACAGCTGCTACGGGCTGCTTCCTGGGGATATGTTTGTGTGTGTGCATGTGTACTCACCTAGTTGTACTCACCTAGTTGTGTCACACAATTCCTAGTTGTGTACTCACCTATTTGTGCTTGCGGGGGTTGAGCTGTGTCAACACACACAGGAAACGAGGAAAGGCTGCGGGAAATGCACCTTACGACACTGGAAGACAGAAGAGTAAGGGGAGACATGATCACAACCTACAAAATCCTCAGGGAATCGACCGGGTAAACAAGGATAAACTTTTCAACACTGGTGGTAAGCGAAAAAGGGGACACAGGTGGAAACTGAGTATCCACATGAGCCACAGGTACGTTAGAAGGAACTTTTTCAGTGTCAGAGTAGTTAACGGATGGAATGCATTAGGCAGTGATGAAATTGTTTGTGTAATAATCTAAGATGAGATCTGATAAAGACCTTCTGTGCCTTTGCGCTACCGCTCACAGGATGAGTATGGGGTGCACAATAAACTAGCCTCCTTCGGTGGCAACAATCAAAGTCAGGCAGTGGAGGCTGACTCCATACACAGTTTCAAATGTAGATATGATAGAGCCCAGTAGGCTCAGGAATCTGTACACCAGTTGATTGACAATTGAGAGGCGGGACCAAAGAGCCAGAGCTCAACCCCCGCAAGCACAAATAGATGAGTACAAATAGGTGAAGACACACACACATACACATGCACACACAACTGAGTACATACACCTCACACGTACCCACATACACATACACATGTATGTGTATACATGTACACATGTATAGCAAGAATCACATTGCTTGGCTTAGTAATCAAGGTTCGATTTACTTAACAGGCGGAATGATTTTCGTAATTTAATAAATTATTATTTCCTAACAGGTTCAACAATATTAATATGATATACTAAAGATATTAATTAATAACTTAGTTAAATTAGGTTAGAATAGAAACACGCTCTGTTCATGTTGACTTAAAATAAATCATACATAGAATTAAACGAAAAACTTAATTAAAAATTCAATAACAGAAAATTATTAACATATTAAATATTTCAAGAAAATTCGGCTTGTTAGGCAGTTCTGCCTTTTAGTTACAACATTTCTAATATGTCTCCCTATTCCATTCTCATGGAATAGGAAGACATATTAAACATCATAAAATTTGATTTTTAAATATGTTTAAAGACATAAACATCCCTGGTTGCTGCGTACACTACCGATAAAGTGACCCTGGTTGCTGTTAGCAGTTGAACCAGATGGATTCTGTTGTATTTTATTTACAATTTATTTTTCTGTTAAGAACTTCCTATTCCATTCTCATGGAATAGGAAGGCACCTTTTGTTACCTTTTCCCGATGAAAAAGGTAAAAAAAATATCGAAAGATAGATAGGAAGACTAAATAATTGTTCATTAAAATACCACACGTCTGTATGCAGGCGAGGAGTCACAATAACGTGGCTGAAGTATGTTGACCAGACCACACACTAGAAGTTGAAGGGATGACGACGTTTCGGTCCTTCCTGGACCATTCTCAAGTCGACAATCGACTTGAGAATGGTCCAGGACGGACCGAAACGTCGTCGTCCCTTCAACTTCTAGTGTGTGGTCTGGTCATCAATACACGTCTGTATCTTCCCAATGATACAAATATTGGTAAATCAAAATGAGGAAGAGACTTTAGGATGAAGATTAGTATGGGCCTAAAATCAATAAGGTATACTATCAATACATTAAATCAAAGCTGATAGGATACTTAGTCTTATGTCTAGAAACGAGTCAGAATTACAACTACACGCGCTAACCTTCAGTTATACATTCCGTTAATAAGGTAAATTCTTGATACAATGAATTTAATGAACAAAACACAATTCTTCTTTTTATTTTTTTCCAGTGAAGTTGGAGAAGTCAGAGGATGAAGTGCAAGGTGAAAACTTGGAGCAGTTTGACCAAGAAACACAGGGAGTGGCCGACAATGTCGACTTTTCACAGACATCAAATAGTGGAGATTTGCAATTCCAGGTAGGATCCAGTTGCATATTTATATTTTCTTTTGTCCATTTTTCAAGAAAACTTAAATACATATAACACAATATTAATATCTGTAAAAGAGTTTATCTGTTTGTTTCTTTATCTGTCTGTCAGCCGAGGCCTGATGTTTCAGGCTAGCCTCACCTAACTTTTCTGGATGACAAAGGAGTAAGAGGGTGTGGGAGTGTCATAGGTCTTTCGGTATCATTCCCATTACCACCTTTAATAATTTTGTCATCTGAACTGAGCCCCTGTGAATTTCATGTAGTATAAAATCGGAAATGTGTTTCTGTACAAATATTTATTTTCAATGCTTCTTAATAATAAATGTTCTGAGAGAGGGAGAGAAAGAGAGAGCGTGAGAAAGAGGAGACGATGTCGGAACAGAGCGGAGAAAAGATAGGCGGAAAGGATGGGACCAACTATAGATCATGTGGTAGTTGGTTACTTACACCGGATATATTGTCTCTGGGTCAAAGGAGGGCTATCAAAAAGTTGTATCGACCGATCATCCAGCTGTTCGATTGGTCGAGACTCAGTACACTAGACAACAGGGGGTTAGAAAGACTGTGTCCGTGAGCTAACAGCTCGTACAGTGAACAAATCCACAAGGGCCGTGACGAGGATTCGAACCTACGTCCAGGAGCATCCCAGACGCTGCCTGTAGCTCGTGCAGTATATACAAATAGTAAATGCACTCTCTCTCAAACACACACACACACACACACACACACACACACACACACACACACACACACACACACACACACACACACACACACACACACACACACACACACACACACACACACACACACACAAGCACACACATACACACACACATGGGACAACTATAATGACTCTTAGCTTATTTAATAAAAAAAACTATAATTCCCGGGTGTTTCTTCAACAGTTTGGTCAAGAAGAAACCGAAGCGTTTGGGCAGCAGCCTGGTACTCAGTCTCGACAGCGCATATTAAAATTACAAGAGGAATTTATGCCTGGTAAGTCACTCTCCATCTCTGTCCTGCGATTTAGCCTGTCTCATCCTGGTGTGTAATTCCCAGTTCGTACTGCAGTGTTCCGTTTATCCGGTGTGTGTGTGCGGGGGGGGGGGGGGCCGAGGGGCACTATTCGTTCAACTGAGTATACTTCTTATCCGGTGAATTTGGCCACTTTTCTTATGTTGATTGATATTATTTATCCTTGTGTGGCCGCTTTCATACAATTATGGAGTTATTTCATCGTGCTGTGTGACCTATTTTATTTCGTTGTGTAAATTTATTGACAGTTGTTTGCCAATTTTAATAATACTAATTAAAGTAGGCTCCGTATATAATTTTATTATCTTGTCTGAGCTATTTTATAGGACTTACATCTAGCTTTGTAAGTTGTAAGTCTCTATCTTTCTTCTCACCAGAAGCAAAATCGGCCTTGTAGCTAACTGTTAGGTACAGTTACAGGTGGAATCGTACAGAGCATCAGCGTGGGCGTGGAGCTCGATGGTTCCCTCGCCAGGAGCTACGAGGTCATAGTAACGTGGGCCGTCAGCAAATCCACCAGCCAGATCTCCACCAAAGTCCAACTATCGCTAATTAAAAACCCCTCTGCGGGCACTTTTGAAGAGCCTCACATGGTAAGGTTCATACGCTAACCTTCCCTGTGTCTGGAGCTCCTTCGGCTACTCTTCAATATTTGATATATTATCGTGTGTGTTTTTGGTGATCATACAAATATTGTATTGTGACATATTTTGATTCTCATGTGTCGCATCAAACATCTGTGCCGTATAAAAGGTCTATACAACACACACTATAGATCTTAGCTCAATTTTGATTAGAAGCATATATATATATTACACTCATATATATATATATATATATATATATATATATATATATATATATATATATATATATATATATATATATATATATATATATATATATAGGAGGGCAAATCGGGCCTTGCATAGTAGGCTGAGAAGTGCGTTCTGGCTACTAGGTACGACATATATATATATATATATATATATATATATATATATATATATATATATATATATATATATATATATATATATATATATATATAAAAAATCTACGGTTCATATTTCTTTCAGACTTGCTTCAATGTTCAAGTGCTGAAGCCAAGATTCCTTCCTCTTGCAACTGTTGAGGAAGTGTTATCTGCAAATTTGCAATCCTCCATTGAAGCAGAAATTTATGATGGTGTATCATGCTCATCAACACCTGTTCTTGAAGTGCAGGTGTGTATGTGTGTGTACTCACCTGTTTTTGCCAGCTGAACTGAGCTCTAGCCTTTGGACTCCGCTTTTCTTGCCGCCTGTTCTCTAATTCAATAAATTTTAATGTATTTCTCTATCAAATATGCTTTAAAGTTTTATATTGAGTTTGCCTCGACAACCTACTATCTGCCATTAGCAATACAACTTGCACTTATGCCTGGATCATCACTCAGGGCACCTTAGACGTGAGCGACGAGGTCATCCGTCGCCTGAGGGAGGAAGTGGCCAAGGACTGTGACCTCGCAGACTCCAATCTCCTGACCATAGATGTCATCACCTCTCCTCTCTACGACCACGCCCACTTCACAGCAAAATGGACTGAGGTATGGGACTATACATTGTAGATATTAAACATTCCAGTGTAAGTTGCTACATGCTACCCAACATTGTCTCCTCTCTCTCTCTCTCTCTCTCTCTCTCTCTCTCTCTCTCTCTCTCTCTCTCTCTCTCTCTCTCTCTCTCTCTCTCTCTCTCTCTCTCTCTCTCTCTCTCTCTCTCTCTCTCTCTCTCTCTCTCTTTCTCTCTCTCTCTCTCTCATATTTTTTTTAAACTAAGATTAAGAATGATGCTATTTGGGAAACTCACTGCAATTCTGTGGTGTTTGAATGAAGGTGAAGGAAAGATAATTGTAAGTGTTTTATTTAGCCAAATTTTCGCATGTAACCTTGTACTATTTTCCTACGAAATTACAGGTTAACGCTATAATCCGAGATCAGTTAGGCACAAGCTTGACTATAAGTGTAATCTTTATCGGGTTTATTATTAGTTTAAATTTGGAATAATTTTCACATTATTCTATATTGCAATAATGTTATTTACTGGATGTAGTTGAAGTCAACTGTGTGCTGAAGCCTCCATATGGTCGGATGATTGTATTCATCGAGTATCAACGTCTTCAGAGAATTGTGTGAGATGCGTCTAAGTGCTGTAAGCTCTTGAACTGCCTTGAAAGTTTAACATATGGATCTATATGACAACTGATGAGGCTGACTACTTCTCTAAGATGAAATCTTCATCAGTGAGAAAGTGATTTTTCTAACTCATCTGTATGACATGATTGGATAAGTTTTCTAACTCATCCAAGTTCAGTGTTGTGAATTTTTCTTGTGATTATCTGTCCTTCGTTTTCCGCCAAAATTAACTTGCCATCATCTTCACAAGGGAAGATGATGGTTAAATTTGGAGGGATTTGCTCCAAATTGAGATTATTGAGCCTTGCAGCTTGAGGGATTTCCTCTCTAGTAAAGATTAGAGTTCAGTCATCATGCTAAAGCTTTGGAAATTAGGATTATCCAATCATTGAAGTAAAAATTCGATAACAATAATCCAGTGTCACCATTCTGTAGATCACCTGAAAAATCTGTGTTAAATAATAGGATTATATTGGTGATTCTCTGTATTCTGAGAAAATTCTGCCGGTTTCATATTGCATCTTAATCTGTTTCTGGAACAGGACTATCCAGTTTTCTTGAAGAACCTCAGTTATCGTATTGATGACATCATACAGCACGCGCTCTTCCCCCTCACATCCTACGACCACACCGCCACCAACCCTCAACACACCATAGATATTGATGCCACTAAGTAAGCTTACGGTTAATATATATATATATATATATATATATATATATATATATATATATATATATATATATATATATATATATATATGTGTATATATGTGTGTGTGTGTGTGTGTGTGTGTGTGTGTGTGTGTGTGTGTGTGTGTGTGTGTGTGTGTGTGTGTGTGTGTGTGTGTGTGTGTGTATGTGTGTGTGTGTGTGTGTGTGTGTGTTACAGTTCAATATTTTGAAATAGAAAAGAAGAAACATCAGTATATCTGAATTTTTCCTTTACGTAGATGCTTAAACAGCAACAAGTGGACCGTAAGAGTCGTGAGACCACAAATGGTCGCCATTACCAAAGAACTGTCGCCACCTGCCATTCTCCAGGAGTTTATAGGGCCAGCGGAAATACGTCAAATATTCAGTTACAACTTCATACATGGACGCACATCATTCACATGCGTTGTTGAGACGACTAAGGTGAGTAAACTGGCTTGAGTATACATCTTTACTTCCGTTTTAACAACAGTCTTAAGGGAAGCCGACACTTGTAGAAATAGTATAAACTCCTGTACCCTATGCAGGAACACTTGTAGCATGCATTACCTTGTACCACAAGGTTGTCACCAATTCTGAGACTTAAAAATATTGGTATATATATATGTTGTACTTAGTAGCCAGAACGTCGTATTTGGCCTACTATGCAAGGCCCTATTTGCCTAATAACCTAAGTTTTCCTGAATTTACAATTTTTTCACATTTTTTCTTATGAAATGGTAAATCTGTTCATTTCATTATGTATAACTTAATTTGTTTAAATTTGAGTTAAAACTAACGAAGATATATGACCGAACCTAACCAACCCTTCCTAACCTAACCTAACCTATCTTTACCTAACCTAAACTAACACAACTAAGTCAATAAATTATGGTCTTAATAAAATAATAAAAATATAATATAATAAAAATAATTCAAATAAACTAATTGGAAACAATTTTATCAGGCCTTGCATACTAGGCCAAGAAGTGCGTTCTGGCTACTAGGTACGACACACACACACACATATACCTGTGTGTGTGTGTGTGTCGTATATATATATATATATATATATATATATATATATATATATATATATATATATATATATATATATATATATATATATATATATATATATATATATATATATATATATATATATATATATTATATGTGTCCTTCAGGTGAGGACACATGACGGGGTGGAATTCCCTTACCACCCAGATAGGTGCTGGACGACACTCTCTGTTGGTCTCCCTGAGAAAAATATGGGTGAAAACAAGACTGAGGCAGTTCTGATGGCTCGCTACACCGACCAGTGGGAGGTTCGCTTCGTGTGGAAGTGGGCGGGTTACCTCTACGAAATAACCAAATCCCAGTTGCAAGTAGGTTCAGGAGGCAATTTAAGAGTTCTTTTAGCGTTCAGTTCTTCATTATTAATTGATGTTTAAATCATTTGTGTACAAATAACAGTGAAAAATTAGGCAGCATAGCTCGAAAAAATTTAATTACTTTTCTGTTCATATTTATGAAAGTTTTTATCACGTGTCATATATATATATATATATATATATATATATATATATATATATATATATATATATATATATATATATATATATATATATATATATATATATATATATATATATATATATATATATATATATATGTATAATAAAACTTTAGATATTTACATTTTTAAGTGGCCAAGTGGCATTAAACTGACTCTAATTGAAACGCAATATACAAATAAACCCAAATACTAAATATTTTTGTATATAATTTAATATCTCATGACCCTTCATCTTTCTCCAACAGGTGAATGGCGAACCATACGAAGCAGGAAACGAGTTGATTACGTTCATCGAACAAGAGGATGCCAGTTTGTCTATTATCAATTACATTGGAATTATTATTAAAATATCAGACAAGATTGAAGTTATTGTAAGTATCCCTCAGTTGTATACGACAATGTACAGAGGGGCCCTAGGTACTTGTAGAGAAAGAGAAGCTAAATAATTGTAAAATAAGTGGTGCTGAGAGTGTTTGTGATAGAAGAGAAGTTGAATGTGACTGAGATGGAAGAGAAGGTGAGAGAGATTGAGGCAGGAGAGAAGTTAGAGTTGACTGGTTGAAGAGAGGATCAGGGTTACTGCGGAAGTAGAAGAAGAGGGGTTTATATATAACTCCTAGCATCCAAAATGTGAAATTTGGATGCTAGGAGTAAATGTTTATATATATATATATATATTATATATATATATATATATATATATATATATATATATATATATATATATATATATATATATATATATATATATATATATATATATATATGTGTGTGTGTGTGTGTGTGTGTGTGTGTGTGTGTGTGTGTGTGTGTGTGTGTGTGTGTGTGTGTGTGTGTGTGTGTGTGTGTGTGTGTGTGTGTGTGTGTGTGTGTGTAAATCACGAAAAATAAACACGTGATTAAAAATGTGACAGTGTCAGACTACGCAGGAAAATTTAAACAGGAATTTCCTTAAGTACTTTCGTATATTAATACATCTTCAGAAGGAGTGGTTTTACAATTCAAGTATTGGACATATATAGGCTTGAGAGAATGGTGGAGTGAGGTGAGGTTCAATAACAAATGAATGGAATTAGGTGGACACAAATATGAGCCGCACAAGAACTGCAGAAGGCCTATTGGCCCATACGATACAGCTCCTATTCATACCCACCAACAGACCCACACATGGATAATAATAGCATAAGATAGTAAATATTTACAATGAATTAGTGAGTCAAATGTGTTCCAATGATCCTACTCAAATCGCCCTTTAATTGATCGATTAAAAACGGATCAAGTTATATATACCACTGCTAATGTTCAAATTACTTTCTTTTGTAATCTGTATCAAAGCAGATTCTATTATGTTTCTCTTATAAGTGCTTTTACAATTGGAGAAGCCATCTCCCAATTAATTTGGTGAGCATCTTCTGATAGATGAACAAACAAAGCATTAGACAATTGGCCATGTCTTACAGAATATATATGTTGCGAAATTCTACATTTCAAATCTTTAGATGTTTGCAATACATAGAACATCTAAAGATGTTTTCTTTCAACTTTAATTCACACCGAATAATTAACAACTAACTTCACCCTCTGATGATTACCTGACTGTTTTACTTATCATGCCATATATCCGATCACACTAAGCTGTTCAGTAGCCAATCGTAGCTAATGAGTTGTACAATCAGTGGGCAAACTCATAATTCAGAATTCATGATTCGTCGGTTTTCGCCATAGGAGCAAATCCTATTTGAATATGAGCATGGGAGTCGACCCCCAACTCCTCTATGACACTCGCAATACAATCACAATCCCCCCATGTAAGGTTATATGAGGCTAACCACAACCAACTGGTTTCCAACCTTAAACAGACAGACAGACATTTTCTCCTATTAATTCGGATGTATATAACACCCCTGAATTACATAATAAGTGGGAATTTATTAACAATAATTGTCTAACGAGAATATTATCTTCAGCACTCAAACAATGCACTCAGAGGAGTTGACGGACTGTGTGGGAGAATGGACGGAGAGAGGACCGGTGACCTGGTGGGCCCTCAAGGATGCATCTACACCGACCCCAAACTCTTCGCCTTGGCCTGGACAACCAAAGGTGATGGCTGCGCCCAGTTCAGCCTTCGGGCTAAAAAGCGAGCGGTGGAGAACTTCCAGGAGGTGTGTCCCCGCGAGTCCCATGTCCCCACCAGTGTCTCCCACCCCAATGGTAAGTTGCATAGCTTGAGAGATTGACTGGGTGGTCTTCCGATTGTCTTTGCACAAGAACAGTTTATATTCAGAATTTTAATGGGAGCAATTAATGATGTTTCTTGTGTAAAAGATTATTCAATAGGTTCAAATATGTGCAGTATGGACATGAATGTTATGCATAATTATCTGGTATGAAATGACAACTACGTTATTCCTTCACCCCAGTTGTATATGACTGCACGGAATGGCAATACATAGAGAGGTTTACTGGAGGGTACAGTTGCAAGGCAACTGTCCCAACACCAGCGTGCAAGGAGACATGCAAGGAAGCTGGCTCCACCATGAAGCTTGTGAGTATAGCTTTCCTCATAACTATGTAATAATTGGTATTTAATAAATACTTAAGTATATCTGTCTATAACTATAAATTAGAATATCAGTCTATTCGAAGACTGATATTCACCCAAAAATTAAATAAAATCCACCCATCACAAATTTTACTCTTTCATTCTAGACTTACTCTTAATTTTTACATGTTTTATTTCTTGATCTTTTTGCTTTATATCGTATAACATTATGCACTGATGATATTAAAATTAACACCTAAATTCTACAAATTAATCTGTGCTTTAAGCAGAGTAAACACATTTTAATGATCTAACTCTTGACAAGTCATCCACTCGCCCCACAACCACCCAGGTCCACACAGTACCATAAGTTACCACCCACTCCCTCCCTCCCTCCCTGCTCCCATACTCACACGTCCCTTCAACGAGTCGCAAACATCTCTAGGACCCGGGTCGACGCGGCACAGAGAGAAAGAGACAGGAAGACAGATATACAGAAAGAGAAAAACGGAGAGAGACAGACAGACAGAAGGGGACGCTATGTTTATATTCTGAGGTCTTTCCCTCAGTGAGGGACGTAATGGTATGGGGGCTCCAGAGGGCTGGTGAGAGCCTCAGAGTTTGGGTGGGATGAACGCAGATATTTTTTCTTTTCTCTCATACATATATCTTGAGATCTTGAGGTTATCTTGAGGTTATCTTGAGGTTATATGTTTAATGTACAACTTAGTAAGGCACAGAGAAGCTTGTCTGGGAATACCCGATAAAAGATGCTGCCAGAAGTGCACCGCTGCTAGCGTGAGAATATGTACATACATATATACATACATATATATACAGAAATAGAAAAGATTGTCTTTACTGAACCGACTTTTTATTTTCCAGATCCAGTATGACTGTCAGCTCTTCCAGGAGATAAGAAATACCACTACCCAGCAGGAGTGCTACCAACATGCTATGGTCACCACCTTCCCGGCCTCCTGTGTGCCCTAGAGCCTGCATGGTCCGGTCACTACTTATACACAATATTGCCAAGAAGCGTTATCTATTGATTCATCCAATATCCGGCCTCTGATTACGTGTACAAAATGTGGCCTTGTGCTCTCACAAACTTTTCACGTTTCCTATATTTATTTTGCTGATGGCCTGAGGAATAAGATAAAAATATAACCAAAACTTTACTAGGACTGATTTATATGTATAAATTTATAATTTATATGTAGTAAATTAGTCATTTGGATTCACATGTTAGCCCTATGAATGCATATGTCAGACCTAGGGAAATAGGTTAGAATGATAGTGTAATTTTTGCACTTCTAAATTTCCTAATATGCACATTTCTCCTTGTATTTAAGACATTTTATCCACCGGCTGTCACAACGTTTCTTCGCAAATACTTCTCCCATGTGCCCTGTATATTATAATTATCAAACGGATTTGAATTACATCACTGTGTGATATTTGGCAATAATATCGTTATATAATAAATGTTATATATGTCATATTTTATTTCTCTCCTTCACGATTTGTTTACTATAAAAAAATCAAGAAATAATATATATATATATATATATATATATATATATATATAATATATATATATATATATATATATATATATATATATATATATATATATATATGTCGTACCTAGTAGCCAGAACCCACTTCTCAGCCTACTATGCAAGGCCCGATTTGCCTAATAAGCCAAGTTTTTATGAATTAATTGTTTTTCGACTACCTAACCAACCTCCAAGTGGTCAGGATTATTCGAGTGACAGGCCAGGATTCTTGTACCGTTCAATTGTCCCCTACACCTGTCCTGGTAGGTTTATACCATCTGCAAGACCTACGAACCTCACTTCTGTCCCCTGTCACAGGGTGGTGGCAGCATTACTTGGTAACTCATACGAAGGCTGTGACTACGAATATTTCTATCTTTCTATTTCACTCTCCCTCACTAGTTTCTCACTCTCCCTCGCCCTCACTTGCTCTCGTCCTCGCTCTGCCTCACTCTTCCTTCATCTCTCTCTCTCTCTCTCTCTCTCTCTCTCTCTCTCTCTCTCTCTCTCTCTCTCTCTCTATCTCTCTCTCTCTGTCTCTCTCTCTCTCTCTCTCTCTCTCTCTCTCTCTCTCTCTCTTCTCTCTCTCTCTCTCTCTCTCTCTCTCTCTCTCTCTCTCTCTCTCTCTCTGTCTCTCTGTCTCTCTCTCTCTCTCTCTCACTCTCTCTCTCTCTCTCTCTCTCTCTCTCTCTCTCTCTCTCTCTCTCTCTCTCTCTCTCTCTCTCTCTCTCTCTCTCTCTCTCTCTCTCTCTCTCTCCTCTGTCTACTGGTTTACGTCCTCGTATGACGGCCCGAGTGTTTAAACATCTTATATGATCGGTAGAGCATCCGTTATTACCATAGAAGGAGCGGAGATTGCACGGTTATTTCAGTGGTGGTAGCGGGGTGCGCGGTCGAGATATTACAATGTGTACCTGATGATTTATGTACCTATCGATAGGTTCAGCGATAGCAGGCGGCTCGACATCAGAGAGGCACTACACATCAAAAAGTCAATACCAGCAATCGACAGCCAATTAATGCACAACTATATTCTACCCACTTCAATGCATCGTATGGGCCAATAGGCCCTCTGCAGTTACTTCCATTCTCATGTACCCACCTCACCCAAACCAATAGAAAGCAAGGGGTTATATCAAATGTTTCATACACAGTGCATCAATTATATCATAAAATTGTAGTTCATAAGTGTAGTGTTAAGTGTAAAGAAGTCTTTGAGAATGTAAGAAGCCCTCACGAAATGCTTCTAAGCGTCACACTATCAATAAAAATGAATTTTGGAGAATTGATATTTTCATTACCACCGACAGTGAAGAAAAACATACGAAATATCGAAAAAATTCGTGTTAGAATTATTAATCTTACTTTTTGGGTCATATTCAACAACATATGGAAAAAGAAACGAGATAAAACGAGCATTTCAGTTTATCAAGGCGATTTCAAAGAAGACATTTTAGACTTGAATGCGATGGTGAAGACGTGTCCCCATACAAACAATGTCACAATAACGTAACTATAAATTATTGTTGACATATAGCTACATATCAACGATAATTTCACTCCCAAAAAAGAAACCCGTGTTTACAAATATGCAAAGCATTTGTCAGCGATAATTTGGTTGAATTATATAATTTGATAATTTGTCTCGCTTCATGCAGGTCGGCGTTCAATCCCCGACCGTCCAAGTGGTTAGGGACCATTCCTTACCCCTCCCCCCCTCGTCCCATCCCCAATCCTTATCCTGACCCCTTCCCAGTGCTATGTAGTCGTAATGGCTTGGCGCTTTCTCTTGATAGTTCCCTCCCCCCTCTCACACACATCAATAAACATGTGACGCCTCATCAACAAGGGCTGTGTGAGTGAAGCAACAATCCCACGAAACTTAGGTACAACTGGTGCGGCCGGGAGGCGTGTCTTGGCTGGTGGTGGTGTGTGCACCGATAACTCACATAGTTGATGGTACGTACACCGGAACAGTAATGTCGGAGTAAAATGTTTCGTGATTCGATGTGTTATTATGTCACATAAAATCTAGTTTCTCTCAGGAGACAATTATCGGTGTAATTGCTAGAGGGACACACACACACACACAGGAGGCCAGACACAGGATATAGAATAAGAGATGAAGTACTTAATGAAACGGACAGAGAGAAAGATGTAGGAGTTGATATCACACCAAACCTGTCTCCTGAAGCCCACATAAAGAGAATAACGTCTGCGGCATATGCGAGGCTGGCTAACATCAGAACAGCGTTCAGGAACCTGTGTAAAGAATCATTCAGAATCTTGTACACCACATATGTAAGACCAATCATGGAGTATGCGGCCCCAGCATGGAGCCCGTATCTTGTCAAGCACAAGACGAAGCTGGAAAAAGTCCAAACGTATGCCACTAGACTAGTCCCAGAATTAAGAGGCATGAGTTGCGAGGAAAGGCTGCGGGAAATGCACCTTACGACACTAGAAGACAGAAGAGTAAGGGGAGACATGATCACAACCTACAAAATCCTCAGGGGAATCGACCGAATAAACAAGGATAAACTATTCAACACTGGTGGGACGCGAACAAGGGGACACAGCTGGAAACTGAGTACCCACATGAGCCACAGGGACGTTAGAAGGAACTTTTTCAGTGTCAGAGTAGTAAACGGATGGAATGCATTAGGCAGTGATGTGGTGGAGGTAGACTCCATACACAGTTTTATATGCAGATATGATAGAACCCAATAGGCTCAGCAATCTGTACACCAGTTGATTGACGGTTGAGAGGCGGGATCAAAGAGCCAGAGCTCAACCCTCGCAAGCACAACTAAGTGAGTACACACGAGAGGCCGCGGGGCCTGGCGGCTGAGTAAACAGTGCTCTAGGATCGTAGTAGTAAAGGCCCAAGTTCGATCCCCGGCAGAGGCAGAAACAAACGGAAAGAGTTTCTTTCATGCTGATTCGCCTGTTCACCTAGAAGTAAATAGGTACCCGGGAGTTGAACAGCTGCTACGGGAGTGCTTCCTGTGTGTGTGTGTGTGTGTGTGTGTGTGTGTGTGTGTGTGTGTAAGAGAAATATATATCTTAGAGATAATCGAAGAAAAATAATTGGTTAGAAAGGCGGAGGTCCAAGAGCTAATAGCTCGATTAAATACAAATTAAATACAAAATACATCGATTAGATACAAAAAGTAAATACAAACACACACACACACTCACACTTCATAGGGTAGATAAAGACAGTCTATTTAACACAAGGGGAACACATACAAGGGGACACAGGTGGAAACTGAGTGCCCAAATGAGCCACAGAGATATTAAAAAGAACTTTTTTAGTGTCAGAGTGGTTGACAAATGGAATGCATTAGGGGGTGATGTGGTGGAGGCTGACTCCATACACAGTTTCAAGTGTAGATATGATAGAGCCCGATAGGCTCAGGAATCTGTACACCTGTTGATTGACGGTTGAGAGGCGGGACCAAAGAGCCAGAGCTCAACCCCCGTAAACACAACTAGGTGAGTACAACTAGGTGAGTACACACATATATATACAAAAAACAAAAGCAAACACATACCATTTGACCCCTAGCTATGACCTTGACTCAACTCCCACAGTCCAGACTGGTGATATAACGTCTGGTGATATGTCAGTGACAAGCTGTCGTCAACGGGCTGGGAAGATGCACATCAAACAAGCACTGAAACAACCCAAGAGCAAATAATAAGGCCGGCTATAGAAGTGAGCTAATGTAGGATAACTGCTCTTAGCTAACAGTATCATTAATTAACTCTAGCTTTGTTAGTATCAGAAAAAAAATATTCTTCTATTTATTTTTCAGTAAGAGAACACTTATTCATTAAAAAGTACATAAACATCAACTAAAAAAATTTAATATGTGAAAAAATCTGTGTTAATTAAAGGAAAGGCAATATATCAATAAGATATACAAGATATCCAGATAAAATATGTTCATATTTGAAAATATAACCTAACTACGTATGTGAAGAGAAGACGATAATAAATGGGTGAACAAATGAGTCGAGAACCGAGCAATTTAACTCGGGGTCTCATTTTGGTGATGTGAGTGGATTCCAAGTTGTTAAGATCCTGTCGATAACAATTGTCAGTCAGTTCAGTGATATCGGTGTTGTTGTGAGGGAGACTCGAGGCTTCACTGTGGCATTAAGCACCTGGGGACTTACCTGTGCAGTAACACATGTACGCTCACTGAAACGATGATTAAGGTATCGTGAGATTTATCTCACGTCTCAGCTCGAACACTTAAAAACGTAAACGAAATCTGATCTGAGATTTAATGGTAAAGGTTTTCAGCATTAAAATAGTTTCCACTTGTATTATTATTGGTAAACATAGATTTGAAAGCTAATTTACGGATATAATTGTTTCAGAAAATTATAATGGTCCTTTTGAATATGTTGTCTTACATTGTCCAATCCCTGTCTCTTGTACCCAAATGCAACTTGGACTTGAATGTCTAAAGTGAACAGTTTATCAAAGAAAATTGATTAACATTTACCAATCACTGAGCTTACGTACTCCTGCGGGTGCAAAGTGGGGGAATGTTTTAAGTATATCTATAAATCAAAAACAGTGTTTTCCTAATTCAAATAATGTATGATTTATTATTGTACTGATATTTCTAATGTCTTAATTCTGGTCACAATCTCTCAGGTAGTGGTCTAGGCTAGGCTGTGTTCATCTCTCGCACCACAGATTCTGAATCTACGCTGCTCAGCTGCTGCTTCCATCCCAGATCTCCAAGTCTTGTATCCAAGACGAATTCTTGCTGTTACAAACTCTCTCCCTCGACCATCTCTCCCTGCCGTTCTGTAAATATTGTAAGGGATTGTCAACTGCCGCTACACTGCACCAGTGTAGTGATTCATAGATTTGTTCTTCCATCCTCCTTCCTCAGTTCCTTCTCACGTTGTTATTGCCTGATTATACCTGTTACTTGTAGCAGATTCTTGGGGGAAAGTAGTACTGCAGGAAAGATGTCCCCTGCCTGGACGGGTTCTTGGCAGACACGTAGGTCTCCTTCTCTGGAGCGACGGGAATGAGGCTGTGACATCATCTCTCCCGCTGTGGAAACTGAACGATTTCTAAACGTAATATTACTATAATTAGCTACACAGGAGTACTTGCGCCACTTATCTCTTGTGACTCGGAATGAAGGATTACAAAGCAAGGTCAAATATTCGATAGGTTTCCCTAATATCTTCATTCAACAGGATGATTTGCCATACGTGAGACGTAAGGTAGGTCTACCACCCTGTAATTTAGGATGGACTATTAGGATCTTTCAATATACATGAGTGAATAAAATAATTAAAAGGTCATAAGTATCGTCAGAAGAATGTTCAGTTCCCCTCATTCTAAAGGAGGACTAGATTTTCTCTCTACATTTTTTCCTCTCTACATTTTTTGAACATGTAAGAGATGGTTCCGTCTGCCTGTTTCTAGGGAAGGAAGAAATGGTACATTTCTCTGCCACCGCCGCCCACAGGACGGAGTGGTGTGCATGATAAGGATATCAGATTAAGAAGCTGGCTCATCGCCTGTGGGATTTTCCTGGCTTGGAGACTGTGCTCGTGGTCGTCCTTGAACCCACTCTTGACATAATAAATCATTAAACTGTAATTCCCTCTCGACTAACTTGCTAAGCTAAATGAATTTTGGTTGTTTAACTCTAGAACCCCTACGTGCCCCTCTAACCTTTTAAACTACCGCTCAGAGGACGGGTATGGGTGCATAATAAATTAAGTAAACTAACTCCCTTGTGATGCAGTGCGATGATATTAACCGGCCTTTCTCTCTTTGAGAGGAATAAATGGTCCTCCCTCTATCAATATTTACTTCCAATGGAGGAAAACAATTGTGTCAGTGGTTCCATCTTAAATGTAACGGAGGACTTTGTAATTTGAATATCTTCGTTTGGTAGACGAGGATTCAGTGTAGCCTGAAGGGAGTGCTACCAAGACGAGCAACAGTACAGAGCCACACTGTTGATGGGGCAGCCGGGCGTGGTGGGGCAGCTGCCTGGCGACAACGCACCACGTTGCCACCCGCTTCGGTTCGACGTCACCCACTGGGTTTTTAATTCGCGCGCGTCGCGTGTGTGTGTCTGTGTGTATGTTCTTTGTGTATGGACATGTGGAGAGTGTGTGTTTTCACCTATTTGTAATCACCTTATTGTTCCTGAAGAATGAGCTTTTAGCTCTTGGACCACTACCCGTTGTCTAGTGTAATGACTCACTGGTAATTTTATCTATCATATGGACTTGGCCAACTACAAAGACCCTCCGCAATACATCCCACAACAGTTGTCTAGCTTTATATATATATGATAGAATATATATATATATATGATATATATATATATATATATATATATATATATATATATATATATATATATATATATATGAATATAATATAATATATATATTATATATATATATATACTATATATATATGTATATATATTTATATATATATAGAATATAACATGTATAATATATATGTATATTGTATAATATTACAATAATATATTATAATATATAATTACAAAATGTGGCCTTAACACATACGCAACACAATACAAGTAAAATGAAAATCATGCCAATGGGAAACATTGATAAAGATCACGGACAGATTTGATCGTTGTTGCACGTCAAACACTTCTTCGAATTCCTCCGAAGTTGGACTCGTGCCCAAGATGCATCTGGCATTTCCCATCTGAATTGCGACACTGAGGCGCTGAACTAAGAAACTTTTCGATCTCTGGCCTTTTGTAGCGCCGAGCAATTTGTCCCCCAATTCCTTCAGGAACTTCAATGTATATTTTCCCCACGATCCGAGGTTCTCCGCACCAATCGGAACAAAGCTGTAGCAGTGTGCCAGACCTAAGTAATTTATGATTTTCTGCCTTTTCCTGAAAAGAAGCAGTGCGGCCCCATCGTGTGTTCGCGTGTGTTGTGGTGGAGGTATATAATATGATATAGATATATATATATATATTATATATATATATATATTATATATATATAGTATATATATATATATAAATATATATAGATATATATATATATATATATATAATTTATAATATCTTATTATACTATATATATGTCTCGCTGATGCTGAAAACAAAGCCCTGCCTCCTAGCGGGTAACAGCACCCCACGCCGGGGATTTTTATTTGCTGTGCCCAATTGCATCCCTGGAATCTCGCCTCAGTCAAGCTCTCCGCATTGGAGTTGCCCTTCGCCTTGCCGCCCCCATCCTCACCGAACATAGGTGCATCTGCGGAAACTGCGATGGCAGACCCATATTGTCGTCATGGTCTGGTATGTCGTAAATCACAGGGTGTAAAATTGCCACGACATGAAGAAGTCAACGACATCATCATGAGGAGCCACGCCACAGCCCGCTGCCCGGCACAAAGAGAACCACACTTTATCCAGACCTAACGCCCTCAGAAGCGCCCTGAATGTGGTCACCTTGCTACCTTGGAAGGATGGTAAGCAATTGGTATGGGACTACACGTGCGCTGCACACCTGGCCAATACTACCTCCACTACAGCACACGTGAAAGCGGTGGTGCTGCTTTCTTTCAGGGAAAATCGCAGAAAATTATTAAATACGAGGTCTAGCACACTGCTACAGCTTTGTTCCGATCGGCTCGGAGACCCCGGTTCGTGGGAAAATGTGCATTTAGTTCCTGAAGGAATTGGGGGACAAATTGATCTACGCTACAAAAGAATATAGAGCAAAAAGTTTCTTGTTCCAGCGCCTCAGTGTTGCGATTCAGAGGGGAAAATGCCTGTTGCGTCTTGGGCACTAGTCCAAACTTCAGAGGAATTCGAAGAAGTGTTTGACACTGCAACAATGATCGAACCCGTCTGTGACATTCATCAATGGTTCCCATTGTTGTGTCTTCAAGAGATCCATTAACCTTTAAGCACCTTTTTGCATTATTATTTTTGTATCAACCCATGTATAGCGTGTAACCATCAAATGCATAATAAAGCACAAAAAATATTCAAGGAAGGGCGGTGGTAGGAGAAAAGCACACAGAAACTGTATGTGCGGGGTATCTAAACATTCCCTCTAATGCGTTTTGCGTGGTTTCCTCCGAGGCTAAGGGCCCCCGCTTCCAGATAGAGGTGGTACTCCCTTCCTATGTTTAATATATTATATTTAATATATATATTAGATATATATTATAGTTATATATATATATATATATCTATATATATATATATATATATAAATAATATATATTTTATTATATATATATATATATATATATTATAGTATATAAATATAATATAATATTATATAATATATATATATATATATAATATATTTAATATATATATAGATATATAATATATATAATATTCTAATATATATATAATATATATATATATATATATATATATATATATAATATGTATCTATATATATTATATAATTATATATATATATATATTATAATATATATATATCTAATATATATATATTATATATATATATATTATATATATTATATATAATATCTGACCCCTGGAGTGTCAGGGGTCACTCTATAACCCCTGACTCCATGAGGGGTCATGGAGTGGTAGTGATTATAGTGTAGTGATTTTCCAAGTCTGAATTTAAATGCCTGTTCTTTTCATTTCATATCAGCCTTTTTCGTCTGTGCTCTGAACGTCACTAAATATCTTTAGAATAGAAAGTTAAGGCAAAGTTGCCCATAACATGAGTACTCCTTTTCACATACAGAGTGACTTTGTGAAGAGAACTTTTCCATACTTGAGTATGTCATCTCTGATATCCTCACGCAGGCTTTATTGCTCGTTAGTTTAGTTCATTTGGTAGGTTCCTATACAAATATAAGTGTGCCAAGCAGATATTTTGTATTTTAGGGTAGTATGAAGGGAATAGAAGTGTGAGAAATCTACTCGTGCAGAAGGAAAGTGGCAAATTACAAAATCAATTATTGGAAAGATGAATAAACAACTCTAGTGAGCATTTGGCACTGGGGAAATTTTGAAGTTACTACTTCACCTCAAATTTTAATTTCTTAGCTTAAAAGTCATTAGAGACCAATGCATAAACCTATAATGTGATTGTAATCTTCGTGTCACCCCACACACACAGGATAAGTATGGGTCCCATAATAATTATAATAAACTAAAAGGAATAAATTGACACTGGTGTCAACGTCCTCGACCTTGGCACGAGTATATTAGGACCCCGGGCAAGGATGCTCGTCTCACTCTGCTGCTGCTGCTGCTCCCTGCGGCACACTTGGCCCTCCCTCCAACACCTTAGTTTTGGCTGAAGTAAGACCTCTGTCGTCGACACCATGAAGGTGGTGATCCTTCTGACGCTCTTAGGTAAGTATTCCCTACAAACGCCAATCTTAACTGGCCCTATTTTCCGAATGTTACAACTTGTAATGAAGTTGTTACATCTTGGTATAACGTTTTTATGACGTTTAAGAACGTTGTTACATCTTGCTGTATTGGTTGTCACAACTCGTTAGATGTTAAAACTTGTTCCAACGTTGTTGCTACGTCGTAGTCACGTCGTGTGTTTGGCGGGATAGTGTGTAAGGGGTGCGTGTGCCTGAGGAGTTCACAGCCGCGGGTTCGAGACCATCGTACGGCTTGCATATCTCCCGTTCTCGTGATTGCACACAGAAGTCTCCTAAGGTGTAATCAAAGATTTGATTCAGTCCATGAAGAAGGAACGTTATCTGCAAATTATAGTCTTTACTCTACATTTATATCAGAGTTCCCCAAAACACTTCTGTTGGTTTGTCTCATTAAAAAAAATATTGAGTGCTCGATGGATAGATATTTTTACAAAATAGTCATGCTAGTGTCTCAGATATTGACCAGTGTCTGCCAAGTGTACCTCTCTAGTGTGTTGTCAATTGTTCTGTTCTCGTTTTTTTAACTTTTATTTCATTATATCTATTGACATTTTTGCATTTTCATGAAGTTCTATTTCTCGCTGTACAGAAAACTAATCACGGGAAGAGACTTTCTCACAGTCTCTGCTTCATGCTTCATCCTCTAAACTTTCTTGGGATGATAGGTTGTGGTTACTCGATGACAAGCCTCTTTGGTCTCTCTTGTTTTATAATATTTTTTTCTGTTCACTCTGGCTTTCTTTGGTCTCTTCAGCTCTCTATTATCTCTCTGGCTCTCTCCAGCCTCCCTGACTCTTTTCGTTCTTTATGGCTCCCACTGCTGTCTCTGGCTCTCTCCAGCCTCCCTGACTCTTTTCGTTCTTTATGGCTCCCACTGCTGTCTCTGGCTCTCTCTGGCATATTGTGGTTTCTCTTTTTCTTTCTGATCTCACTTGCCCTACCTCCCTCACGTAGGCTTTTCTAACCTGTCTGGCTTTCTTTAGCAATCTCTGGCTTCACTGGCTTCACTGTCTTTATCTGGCACTTTTCTAAGTGACTCATTATCCGACCTTACAACGTTCATAAAAGGCTTGTCTTAACATGCCTGCCTGATTCCCCGAGAAGTCTTACATGTACTGACATCACTAGCACTAGTCTCAAGTTACAGCGTCAGCACCCACAGCATCTTGCTACCATCACACTCCTGTCCACACCATTCAGTTTGAGCAGGTGTGCCTACAGTTCCTGGACCCTTAAAATATAGGAATACCCATGGGTGTTAAAATTTACAACGAGATAATAATAATAACTGTAAATAAAGTGCTCAGGTTAACACAACTTTTGTAGAACACTTATTCCTTCATATTAGGCAGCTATTAACTGTGGTAGTGACGCATAACTCAACATAACTCTGTAATTTCATTGCTGAATTAATTATGGTCATGAAGAATCTCAATGTATATGGAGAGGAGTAGAGGTAAAAATACGTAACACGTTACTAGGCATTCTGGTATTGGACATTTGTTAAAAATCATAAATCATAAATACGAAGCCGGCATCTTCTTCTCTTCAGTAAGAGCAGTGGAAATTCTCGGTTACAACCCTTGTAATTGTTTAAAGTGTCCTTGTTACATGAAGCTCTGTTAGACTTATTATTATGAATATATGATTCGTTTTCCCTGAATTACGTTTTTAATTAAAACATTTTACAGTCAAGACATTTGTGAGTTTCTGTTTTCATACGTAACTGCCAATATGGTCTGGATGTTTATATAACCATCACTGAGCTCAGGAACTCCCACTGATCGTGGTGTAGGAAGCGTCAAAATATTATGAATGAAGCCAATAATGTCAGGGTGTTCTGGCCGCTGGTAAAGATGCTTGTGCTGCTGTCAGACTGCCACGAATCATTATAAAGGTTTTCATATTAATGAAAATGTTTTCGGCCAATTTAGGAGGGCATGAGTTAGTTTCAAGCATTCATGACTATTTTATATACTATAAAGAAGTTGGGCACACAGAAACTTTATTGGAGGGGACCTAAATATTCCTTGAAATGCGTTATGTGTGGTTTCCTCCGAGGCTAAGGGTCCCCCTTCTTCCAGCCAGAGGTGGTACTCCCTTCCCTTTTTTTTTTAAATATTGTTATATCATATAAAATTGTTATGTTTCCTTGTTATCTAATAAACAAAATCCATTATTATTATAAATACAGCGAAGTCTGTCAACGTGTCCATAATGGTAATAGTGTTTTACCAATGTGTTCCGTCTGTTGACAGGAGCGTGCTTGGGTCTGCACCCGAACTTAGAGTTCCAGTACAGGTACAGTGCCAGAGTTGCCTCCGGTATTCCGTCCATCAACAACAATTTCGCTGGAGCTGGTATCCAGGCTGATCTCACCATTCAGATAACGAGCTCCTATGATATATTCTTCAAGGTAAGTAGCTGGTGATATAAAAGAAGCTTCGTGCCTGAAATATAATTCTTAGTGTACAGTTTAAATTGAAAATCAAAATCAAAAGAACATTGTGGTGTAATGTATTCTACAAAGAAATCTGGTAGTGAAAACATTAGTCAGAAAGCAAAGAGATTCCCAATGTGATTGTTGTTTTATGACATAAAGAATTTGTGATTAAATTCACATCTTCAGTCCAGTTTGGCAAACAGCCCAAAAATTATATATTTTTATCTATTTTAAAGGAGTCTGATTCACTGATGATTTAATAAAGCAACATTTGGCGTTAGGGGATTGATGTGACTTTGATTTTGGGACCATACTTAGGACTGGTCTAAGTCCTCTCTATGAGAGGACTTAGACTTAACCTTCTATGAGCCTCGTGATTGTAATCAAATCAGAACCCTTTTGGCATGATGGACAGATATTCACCTTCATGCGGGCGTGGACTATATATATATATATATATATATATATATATATATATATATATATATATATATATTATATATATATATATATATATATATACTGCCCATTGTAAATAAACACTCACAAGTCAAGCCTGGCCTCGGGCCGGGCTTGGGGAGTAGAAGAACTCCCAGAACCCCATCAACCAGGTATCAACCAGGTATAATTAGCCCGAACACGTTAACATACATACTAACGTACATACTAAATCATGAGAACACTTAGTCGTGTTCTAAACATACTTTACACACAGCTCAAGTAACAGGGACCGAATGCCGGTAGGATTAGATGCTGGGACAACAAGCTGCGTGTTTGTGAGTGTAAATCTTTAATAATATCAAGTATCCAGCTGAGGGGTACCTAGAACTCTCTCCCTGTTGACTAGTTGTATTATATTATCTTGAGGTTATCTTGAGATGATTTCGGGGCTTTAGTGTTCCCGCGGTCCGGTCCTCGACCAGGCCTCCATCCCCAGGAAGCAGCCCGTGACAGCTGACTAACACCCAGGTACCTATTTTACTGCTAGGTAACAGGGGCATAGGGTGAAAGAAACTCTGCCCATTGTTTCTCGCCGGCGCCTAGGATCGAACCCAGGACCACAGGATCACAAGTCCAGCGTGCTGTCCGCTCGGCCGACCGGTTACTATCATGTAGACCTGCTACGAAATTGTACCCATCAATCATTTTTACATTGCCTGAGCGGCGTATACAGTCCCTTACAAGCATTAGCATTTCTTTGGAAGTTTAAACAATGATCGTGGGAATTTTCCCAAACTGAAGGAAAGTTCGTACAAAGGTTTTCATGTATTTTTTTTCCCGAGACATTAGTTATATCAGAATCAATCATCTACAACATTTTCGTACATTATACACCCCAACAATTTACGAAAACATTTTATTTATTTATTTTTTTGGCATTTATTCCTTTCTGATAACGAATACTCGTCTTTATAAGTTTTATCATTGACCCTGACAGTTAAGTAACATCGAGGTCGGGGAATATCACGATGAGATTGAGTGCGACACCCAAGCACCGCTGCCTATTGAATACCGGCCCCTAGTGGAGGGCAAGGAACTGCTGGAGAAGCCCTTCCAAGTCCATCCTGGCCAACAGAAAGTAAGTGAAGATTGTTTGATAAATGGACTTTCAACAGAGAAAGACTAAGATGATCAAACACAAATATATTTTCAAAATAAAAAGATTGTACATCACTCGGACTTCAGATATGACCCGTCACACTTTTCTTTTCAGGGTGAAGAGTACATAGTGACCCCTATTGAACCAGCATGGATCACCAACATTAGAAAAGCCCTCACAAGGGCCTTCGGTATTCCTCCTCTCCTGGTGAGTGTCAAAGATCTTCCTGGTGTGTAAGTGGGCAGAGGCCTCACCTTTTACATGCTAATAGACTTGGATAAGTTGAAGGGAAAAAGTCAGCTAAATGATTATACTTATGTAATTTAATAAGTGAAATAAATTAATATATTTATATTTTTTTTGGCTGATAAACACGATTGATATGTTAATAAGCCTTGAACTGAAAATAATATAGATGGCTGTGTGGATGCTAAGGCCACCGAATCTAACGGAAAGATTTCCATGTTTAATATGCTAAATAGTTAAATGTAACAATCATCTGTTGTATGTTTCAGGCCAACATCGGCCGACGTATAGACTCCTTCAAGCTGCCAGCGTACAGCGTGAACGAGACGTTAATACACGGAGAGTGTACGACCTGGTAAGAACTAACTATAGAGAGAATAAATCGCAAAAGTATAATATCTTTTTTGATACATAACTCTCGAAACTCAGTTTCTTCCTAGATCAACCATATTCTAAGGTCTTTTGTTACTTCTGTATTTGCTAGCATGTTACCACATCATCAAAAACAACAACTACTTCTGTTAATCATAAACCTAGGGCATGAGAGGCTATTTCAAGTTGAATATCAAATGACAGCTAACCCTCGAACCCCTCCCAATTAATTCTCACAACTCACATAACTAATTCTTGCCCTCACACCTCGACAGGTACTCTGTGATACGCCTGAATGAGGAGGAAGCAGCCCGGGAGGACCATGAGAGAGAAGAGGACATCCAGCGTGATGAGCAAGAATCTGATAGGTGAGACTTTATATAACTTTGCTTCACCCATGAGATGTTCTCCAGCCATGAGTTGTTCTTCACACATGAGTTGTTCTTCACCCATGAGTTGTGCTTCATCCATGAGGTGTGCTTTACCCATGAGATGTGCTTCACCCATGAGATGTTCTCCAGCCATGATACTAATATTCATGAGATGTCCACTCTCATATGCACCCGTCTCATTAGATACGAAATAGATATAAAATCTAATAGTAAATTTAAAAACTGAATAAGAACGAATATTAAAATTATATATTCTCTTCCTCCAAATAAAAAAGGAATTAAACATAAAAAAGGATAACTGATGCTCAGAGATAATGAATGCAAAATGCAAATTCAACTTGACCCCCAACCGTACATACATTGTTTCACTTTTCCAGTTATACATCATCAAAGGGTCCGTTAAAGACATCAAAAACGCACACTTCTAAGACCACCAAGACCGCAGGCACCAAAACCACAGGCACGAAGACCACAGGCACGAAGACCACAGGCACGAAGGGAGCTCCAGCTAAATTGACGTCTCCTGACCGTATCGCTAACACCCTCTGGCGGCTGACCCGCACTGTTGCTTTTGACACCTGTGAGGATCTTGTCAAATGGAAGGTAAGGCAATTTCTTTAATTTGATTATACGATTATATGCAGGCGATGAGTCACAATAACGTGGCTGAAATATGTTGACCAGACCACACACTAGAAAGTGAAGGGACGACGACGTTTCGGTCCGTCCTGGACCATCATACACAATCGACTTCAGAATGGTCCAGGACGGACCGAAACATCGTCGTCCCTTCACTTTCTAGTGAAGGGAAAGACCACATGTGGTCTGGTCAACATACGATTATATGATTATACATCAACATACAACAACAACATATTATCAACGTTCGGTTGATAATATTACTGCCGTTTTGTTTGATTGAGAATCTATTTTGGTACTAAAACGTTACTGTTTCTTTAGTGAGGATTAAAGGCTAGAATTGCTTGATTTACGAGCCTATTTCGGATATTTATTTAGGTTTAATATTTTTGCCTAAGAAAATATACACGCAAGTATCGAATTATCAAACTAACACTTAACCTTGTCTAAATAGCTAAAGTACAGAGTTCCTACAAGTAACTATACTGAGAAGCAAAGCACTTACTTCAAATAAATAAATACATATTTTAATCATAATGATGTGATGTTTAAAAAGAAAAAGTCAGAAAAAGACTGAATTAGTACCACTATAACCTCCAGATCCACGGCAACAAGAAGATTGACAAAAAAATTCAGCGCTCGTCTATAGGGACCTACCTCATCCGGGGTAATGAGAGGAGCGCCCGCATCGAATATGCTGTCATCGAAGGTTCCATCTCGTTGTTTACCAGCAAGCAGGAACATGTGTCCACCTTCACCAACCTGGTAGATTATATGTCTGTTTTGTCATTATTTCCCCTAGTAGGAATCTTTAACTGATATTCTGTTTCTTTTTGTCCTCTGTCTCTCTGTTATGGCACAAGTCAGGGTGTTACCACAGGAGATGGTAAAAGACTTGGTTCATTCTCGAAAGCAATATTAACACTCCGTTTGAAATGTAGCCCCCCTCTTCCCTGTGAGAAGATTAGGGGTTAATCTGAGTTGTCAAGACCCACACTGAGATTTACAATTAAATTTCTATATCACACTGCATAATCACCTAGTTTACTTGGACGTAACTAAATTTCACCAGCGATTGATCCAACTACATCTCTGCTTATCACCAGTTTTGCTAGTCTCTTCTGAACATTTATTGTTATCTTGTTCAAGTAGAAAAGTTCACTTGTTTTTCTTAAACCATTAGTCATAAGCATTACTATAGTGTATTTTCCGTTCTGTAAAAAGCCAAGCGATGTTCCAAATAATATTTGGAAAAAGTAATCGTACCTGTGGCTCTTCACAAAATGTTTGTTCAGAAGCTGAACATTTAAGAAAGGTATAATTTACAAGGTTTCTACCACTGCCTCCTCACATGTATAGGCATAGAGGTAATCTAGAGCACGCAATCCAAACCTCTCTCCATACAATTGTTTTGTAAGGTTTGCCATTGATTGCAACATCAAGCGTCTTAATTCACATAATTTAATCAAACAACGAGTCAACATGGCACACCTTATTAATTAATCGTAAACTTACACCAAAATGCACCTTTCTTCATATAAAAAAAAATCTTTCAAAGCACTCTAATAAACTAAAAATATAAACGCAGGCACAATCACCAACCTCACACGAATGAAAACATTCCTTATTAATTGTGCTCCATTATGTCTCATGAAAAACTTTCCATATGAGTCTACATGTACACTCTCCTTAACCAGCAGGTAGAGGTCCATACGAGGAAGAAACTGGAGGGGTGAACTGATATGGCTAATCACTTTTCATCACTTAACAGAATTTATGCAATTTATTATCTTTATGTTTTCTGTCAGCCTAATTATATTTGTAAAATCTCTCTCTCTCTCTCTCTCTCTCTCTCTCTCTCTCTCTCTCTCTCTCTCTCTCTCTCTCTCTCTCTCTCTCTCTCTCTCTCTCTCTCTCTCTCTCTCTCTCTCTCTCTCTCTCTCTCTCTCTCTCTCTCTCTCTCTCTCTCTCTCTCTCTCTCTCTCTCTCTCTCTCTCTCTCTGAGACTAGGATTCATTAAAATTCTCGATTGAAGTAGCTGGTAAAACTGCAAGCAAGAGCTATTATCCTATCTCAGTTGATCTGAAGCCTGAGGTAGGATAACAGCTCTCTCTCTCTCTCTTTCTCTCTCTTAATTCCCTTCTAGTTTCTCCCTTTATCTCTCTTAATTCCCTTCTAGTTCCTTCCTTTATCTCTCTTAATTCCCTTCTAGTTTCTCCCTTTATCTCTCTTAATTCCCTTCTAGTTTCTCCCTTTATCTCTCTTAATTCCCTTCTAGTTTCTCCCTTTCCCCTCTCACCTTCTAACCTCGTCCTCCTTCTGCCACACGTAGAACAACATAAAACATTCACCTATTGACTCCCTCGATTTTCTGTTCTGCAGACACTGGAGCTGAAAGCAGTTAGGAGCATTCGAAACGTGTTTACCATTAATTATGAGATCGAAAAGCACGAGTCCTTCGTGTACGAAGTTGACACATTCTCCGTCTCTGAGGTAAGCTAGAGGAGTTATTCTCCGTTTGAAAAAAATGAAATAAAATAACTATTACATGCGTAATTTATCAACAAAGAAATATATGGTGGTATATCACCTCAGTGGTGTTGTTTATGTCTAAATTTTTAATTCAAGATTTAAACATTAGTTTTCTTCATCATGTATTATTATAATAAAATAAATATAAACATTTAAGTGGATATATACACAACAAATTTATCTTAAACATTGAGAGGGCTGTTAACATTCTTTATAAAACACACACACAACAGGAAAGAAGCCAACTACATCATATCATCAAAGCATAACCAGTTTATCTAATGTGACATTTATCCATTATAGCAAGAGCCTGGACACGACGTCCACCCCAGTCTGGAGCAGTTGGTCACCGGAATTCCCATCACTTCTCAAGGTGTCACTGAAATCAAGGTACGTAGTAGGTGGTATTAAATATTAGATGTGGGTGGAATGAAGGTGTTAAGAGGTTGGGAAGTGAGTTGGCATCTATGTGAGGATTAGGTAGAATCACAGTGCTAGGTTGGTGGGACGAAGATGAGGAGTGGATGGAAGTCAAGGCTAATTATAAATATATACAAGCTTGATTACGTGTCGAATTAACAATAGATGTGAGTGCAAGCTAGATAAAATATTCAAGAGAGTAGAATGAGATGAGAGATAAAACAAGTTTGTGAGTGTGTAAGATCATTTATTGGATGTGCGTTTGATCACGTTTGTGTGTGTGTGCTGGAACATGTTGGATCATGGATGGGTCAAGTTGTAGTGTGATCAAGTTCTATCATTGATAGATCAACTTGTAGTGTGAATGGAATCAGTGCGAAGAATGGATAAAACTAGGGCGAGGTAGATGAAGTTAGAGATGAAGTGTTCGTAAAATTCTGTTGAAATGTGAATGGTACTGAAAAAACAAACATTAAAACCAATGTGAGGCGAGAAGAAAGAGCCATGTAAACTTTTCCTTTAATTTCCTTTCCTTTAATATAATAGTTTTGCAGAAAGATGTTTTCTGACAAGAAACAGAGTCTCACAACACCTTTTAAAGTGCATTTTAGAACGGATTCAACTACTGTTAAAAAGTATATGAGAAGAAAAAATAGAGAGGGAAAGAGAGAGGAAGAGAGAAAGAAAGAGTGGGAGATGGGGAGAGGGATAGTAGAAAAAGAGAAGCCATAATTGGTTCACTCATTCCAGGTACTGATAATCAAGCTCCTTAAAGTGTTGGTCAAGAGACCCACAACGTTCCCGTACAGCAAGGACCCGCTGGTGAAGGACCTGAGCATCTTGGTGGACGCGGTGTCTATCCTCAGCAAACCGGAAATTCAAGCCTTAACTTCCCAGATAGAACGCGAGGAGCTGCCTGCTGAGAAACTGTAAGACCTTCATACTTCACGTAGTTATTATTCTTTACATAATTTTATATCTATCACAAATCTTACCAAATATAAAGCTATCTAATTTATAAAATCCTGGATTTAATATCATCTTATTCACTAAATTGTATAAATGAAGATTCAATAATGTTTCTTTCAGTAACTGATTTACACTCCACAATTTTGAATGAATAACACCAGTCAATTGAATGATTACACTCTCTTAAGTGAATAAACAATGCATTGGACTCTTGACTTGTTTTTATACAATATTTGTATTCTTCTATTCTCTGGTCAAGATGTTTACCTGTTTGCTCAACATAGAATTTATTACAATCTTTACATATAGTTTTATACACACATCCATTCAATTTTTAATGAGAGTATTTATTTATAATATCAAGATATCTAAATTGCATATTGATATTTATTTGTTTTAGTATTTTTTTTAAATTTTCATGAAATAGAAGCATTATTGAATTCATAATATTGAATTCTTTCTTTTTCAAACTAAAGAAAGGGTCGAGCACTTTGGCTGGCTTCATTAATAAACGATTTATTATTTTTTTTAAATTGAAACCTAGATTATATATGCACTAATTTCATCATCTATAAACTCAGGACTACATATGCATAAAACACTCAGAAACATACAAGAAAATACAATACAGTTTGTTTTACTCGTTGATGATGAATAAAAGTGTCCATACGACTCAACATTTGTTGGTTTTCTTCATACAGAAAACTTGAAATTATTTTCACATTTATAAATTAGGACATTTAAGAATGTGGTTGTTGATTATACATCCTGGTAGTAACAAATTTTTATGTATTTTTAGACAAATCTTCTACGAAGTGCTGGTCACAGCTGGCACGGAACCTGCTATAAGATACCTGCTGGATAAAATCAAGGACCCAGAATTTAGAAAAGCGAACAAAGCACTTACGAACACTTTCGTTGAAAATTTCCACCTCAGTGTCAAGAGTCCTCTTGTCATTCCTGATATCATCGTAAGTCTCGAGGAACTGTTAATATATTTTTGGGGGGTAAAATCTCAGTCTCATTTTAGTCACATTATAATTTATCCATGCGTTTAAAAAGACAAATTTATAATTTATGTGTATATTGCTATTAAAGGTCCTGGAACAAGCACTTAGCTGGACTGAAGATGATCAGGAATTCAAGATATCAGTGCTGCTAAACTTAGCCTCACTCGCCAAACAATTGTGTATTTCGTCTGAAAAGTGGGAAACGTTTGGGTACAATACCTGTGACCCTGAGTACACCTGTACCCCTGATAGCATCATAGAAAACTTCCTCCCTTCGTTGGTACAAGGTATTCAGGTGAGCTGTCATCCTCGCTGTTGTTGTTCATCAGTAATAAGGAGTAACTGGGCTTCCTAATACAGGGACTAAATAAGCAGCTAAATGGCACTCACAGATGTTCCTTTACTTATTCTTATGAAAAAAAACATTGGTATAAAGTTTCTTTCATAGATTTTCATCTCGTTCATTGCATGACTTCCTTGCAAAAGTGATTTAATTTGGTTTCCTCACTCTGTAAATTGTCAAGCTGGAAATAACATGCATGCATTAACAAGCAACAAACTGAAAAAATATGTATCCCTCTTAAGAATCTGAAATAATCCTTCATCATCAGGATGATGAGTCTCCTCTCTGGGTAAAACTGGTTTACATCCAAGCTCTTGCCAACCTGGGCCTGCCTCAGACCATTGATGTTCTTAAGCATTTCGTTGTTGGCGACAAGCCAAGTACCAGTATTCAAGTCCTGAGGACCACTGCCATCTTCGGTATTAGCGGCATTTACCTGCCTAAAACAGCCAAGAGTACGGTAAGTATTTCCCTCATCTTATGATGAATGTTTCCTGGTCTGTTTTCTGCCATTCATGCCAATTTTAAGCCATATAAATTGCAATTCTATAGTATCGGTTGTATACGTTAGGGATTTAATAAAGATGTTCGTGCCTCAGGTGTTCAGCCTCCTGATACCAGTGTTTGAGAACACCGCGGAACACTTCGAAGTCCGTAACGTTGCCTTCCTGGCTATGATGACCTATGAACCCAGCCTCGCATGGTGGGAACGGATAGCGATATCCACCTGGCGTGATCCTTCCTCTCAAGTGGCCTCCTTCGTCTCCTCCACATTCACCTCTCTCGCTAATAGCAATTATCCTTTGTGAGTCCTTTCGCACTTCTTATTTGTCAAGACAGCCTACCTTAATACTTTTAGAGTGTTTATCTTAGAGTGGCAATCTCTAAGATAAACACTCAAGTTATCACAGAGTGTATATCTGTGTGGCAATCACAGATTACCGCTGGGCCTCAGTGCAGGAGGAATCTGAGTCACGGTATAGAGCCATACAGGGGGCACTCTTAGTCAAACACCGAAGACAATAACACAGTAGAATATTTTTAATATAATGTATGTGATCTCATTAACACACTAGAAAGGAGGTTATTACTCAAAGCTGAATAAACATATTTGTCTAAGATATACTGAATACCAGACTGGTGGGAATTATACTTGTGAATGAAATAATTTCATAATTTTGTAACCATCCCCTGTAAGTCTGCTTACAATTATATGTTCCGAGTGTCGGGTCTCACTCGTAAGATCTATCATGGAAAATATCAGGGAAGCAGAGAAAGTAAATTTCATCAAAATTTGTACGTGCAAGAAAGTGTTTCAGTTATGTGGTAATAAGACGGATATGTAGAAAGCTTTAGCAAACACTGATATGTTTTAAACATCTCAAGGAATTTGCAGTGTCAGGAAGTTTCTCTTAGATACATTCTCGTCATAAATAAGGAGCTCCAAGAGAAAACATAGCCTGAAAGTAGGCAAACAGAGACTTCCATCATACAGCTATTATTACAAAGATAGTGAAACAAGAAAAGATTAGTCTAGATATTTCCTTATTATCCTTGAGAACCGAAAAGGATTCTCATGTCAGTGCAGGACAGAGGCCTATTGAAGACAAACGCAAATAATGTGTTGCTTTGCAGGTCCAAAATTGCTAGTCGAGTGGTTCACCTAGTCAAGCCTGCACCCCACGTCTCCCTCACTCACTCCGCTATGGTTTACCTCAACGATTACCTCTACAACTGCAAGGTATGATGAAACGTATTCAGAAATATTAAATTTGCAAAGAGAGAGGACTGATGATATTATCTAATTAATTTAGGACGACAGAATCTTAAGAAAATATCCTAGAGTCAGTAAATGGCACATGGAAAGCCGGCGAATATGATTATGTTGAAATAGATGATGATTTTGCATAACCAGATAGCGACATCATATATTAGATTGCAGCAAAAAAACTATGTATGTTAAATTACTTGCAATAGGTGTTTATTTGTTTGACTTTTATTCACAGTCACAACACTTCTTGAGCTTCGGGTGGTTTGCCAGCACTAAAGGACTCTTCCCCTCAAAGATCATCTTGCGCTTGCAATTTAAAACCTTCCTTGGGTTCGCCACAGAATTCAAAGTAAGTTATGGCAACATAAAAGTATAAATTGTGTATATACAAATGTTTGTGTACTCGTTTAGCTGTTTGCTCTCCTTCTTTATTCACTAATATTTCCATGATTTAGCTCTTGTATTCCTTGCACTTATTTGCAAACATATTTCTAATAATCTAGAAGTGCGTTTGCAAGTGAACATGTGTTTGGAGTGTGCGTCCTTTACGTACTCCTCTTGTGTGTTCGAATCCCGACCCACCTTCACTCTAAAAAGTTTTTCTTTTTAGTGTGTCTTTGTATGTAAAAGAGTGTGTGTGTGTGTGTGTGTGTGTGTGTGTGTGTGTGTGTGTGTGTGTGTGTGTGTGTGTGTGTGTGTGTGTGTGTGTGTGTGTGTGTGTGTGTGTGTGGGGAGGGTGAAGTAGGAAGTAGGTTGAACAATGTCAAACGCATGCGAGAGAATATATTTATGAGTTTGTTTCTTCATATGTAAACACATGTGATTTAAATTCATAATTTCTGTTATTGTTAATCAATATATCTTTCACCCATTACTAGGTGCATGACTTATACAATTTACGGTGGCATAATTCATGGAGAAATCTCTGGACATTTGTATATAAGTGTCCGGGGGGTAGAAATAGCCTAAGCTACTCTATCCCTTTGAGATGTATTGCTTATCTCAATAAACATACTTGAACTTGAACTTGTATATAAGTGGCCAATTTTCTTTCCAGTCTACCTTCGGTCAAGAAGAAATAAACAAAATTATAAAGAAAGCTTACATAACTTTCGTCATGAGTAAAGCTAAAACAACTAAGAGCAGTGATGCAGAGACCGTCCAAGAAATGTTTGATGAGATCGTGGTAAGTATAATTCGAAAATGTTTGGTTGTAAAAATAAGTGAATTTTGGAAAGGAAACATATTAAAATATATATATATGTATATGTTACAATTAACTCCTTTTTACGTAGAGGGATAAGTTAACGATTCTAGCACAAAGTTTCTCTGTTTGTTAAGGGTTTATATACTTAAGAAGGAAGCATAAAATTAGCTCTCGATGAATAACTTAAGATTTTTATTGGACGTAACGTGAGTAGCTAAATGAGCAGAAGTTGCAGTATTAGTGACCATATAAGATGAGGTGAACTGAGGTGTTTCCTCAAGTCAGGATATCTTTGGTGATGGTCTAGTTTTGTGTTGCAATTATGTCATATTGGAAAGTATCTATTTTGTTGGGACATTGTTAGGCAGCTTGCTGTCTTTGGGGCTGACAGTCCCTAAATGCACATTTGATGACATAGAAGACAATCATCTCTATCATGGCGGATAGTTTGGTTGGGTGGAAAGATAGAAAAGTTAATGAAAATTAGGAAAATTGTTAAGAAAATAATTTGTTGGAAAAAAAAAATCTTCTTGGGCAAGTTGGCGGTCTTGTTAACCTTGCAGTAGATGGTGAACTGTAACTTCTGGATAGTGATAACAGGTGACACGTTTCTGTTCATTTTGACCTTCAGGACACTAGTACACACACGTCTTCTGAACGGCCCATAAAACTAAGGAATTTGATGCATAAGACAATTGTTTCTGATGTATATCTAATCATTTGGTTTAGCATTATGAATATTATTTTGATTCAACTCACCTGGGCTGCATGGGTCTCGAACCGTGTACCCCACTCATGTGAAATTTCTGGAAACTGCTTCTGGAATCTTTTCTTTTTTAAGACTGCTCATAGCAGAGTCGATAATGCTACGACGAGCATTATCGTGGACCCCTTACACGAGTGGGGTCCACGGTACAAGACCCATACAGTACAGGTGAATAGAATCCTTATTTCCACAGAAGTGTGGATGACAATTGTTATTATTTTGATACTGCCATGACAGGATCAGCTGGGTCTCATCCACACCGAGAAGCCATCAGACTCGAGCTTCTACTTACTACTGACAGATTACATTAGTCTGGTTCCTCCTGTGCTCGACTCCCCAGGTATGAAATGTTTTATTACAGACTTTCATCGATATTTTCACTCTGGCACGCTCTCAGTTTGCTCTAGGGATCCTGATTAAGGACACCACTGCCTCTTGTCCATGTTTACAACTATTTTTTTTTTAGTTTTTGTAGCATTTTAATGGTAAAAGTAAGTCAAAATCCCAATTATGTTGTTGGATCATTCGTTTTGACCATTTTTTTTACTCTTATCAGAATTTTCTGAATACGCGATTCTTTTTGAGAGTTTGGTAACATTGGTCTAGCTAGGAATTAATTTGTATAGCATTATCGGCAGCTCAGACAACGAAGCATATATATGTATATGTATTCATTTATTCTCATGTATATATCATAAGAATTAAAACCTATACTCTCTTCCACCTGAATATACCATCAGTAGGGCTTGAGACTCACTTGTGTTTGGTAAATAAAATCAAAGTAATTGGGCAAAAAATATAATTAAGATAAGATATTCGGTATATATAATTTCCCTACATAAAGTATACACGCATCTCTATATTATCTAAAACAAAACTACTTGATTATTTAACAGTAGAAGAACAACAGCTTATAAAATACCTTTTATCCACTTGCAATGACTCTCTGTTTTTGTCTCTACTGCAACGTAAGTAATTCACTCATATGACTGTTTATATTTTTCATTCTATAGATAACTAATGTTTGTTTGTTGGCAGAGAACATTCTGACGGCTCTCACGCAAGAAGACATCGGGTTGAGCACTCCTCACATCGACCGCGAAGTGGACTACTCGGAGGTGTTCCCTACTGATCTCGGTCTTCCCTTCACGATACATGTAAGTTCTCTTCTTTGGCTCAACTAAATCAGTCTACTTCGGTGAGTGGCCCTCGCACTCACTGGAGTCATTTGCACTTCTCGTCTCGCATATATTTAGATTTTATTGTGAATAACGAAACCAAATTCACGTCAATAGTAGTCAAGAACTGTCATCTTTATTCCTAAACTGATAACAATAATTTTTATAATAACAATTATTTATCTCTAAGTTGTTGTTAAAGCAGATTTATCACTCTTTAATTTAAACTTATAAAAAAAAGAAGAATTATGACGTTATTTATTATGGAAACATTAATTATTGCCTTATGATAGTTTAACGATCTGTTGCATTAGTGTCTTTGTCTGTCGGGTTACTATTTCCTCGATTATTCAATTATAATTTACCAATTCACCATCAAGTTTGGTTCAGGTATGGCGTCGGTGTCATATGTTTAAGCGACACATATTACATATCTGATGTGAGAGAGAATATTACTGGAGTCTACTCCCGTCAGAAGTATCTGTGACCCTGAAAACATGAAAATGCAAATATTTTTGTAAATGAATAGCTATAGGATGATTTGCAGTTAAGACTTTTTAAGTTAAATATATTCACAAAACTAACATTTAATCGTTCATGTGGTGAAGATGATTTTCATTGTATTTTTCATATTTTAGTCAATAATAAGTATTTCATATAGCTACAGCCAGTTTTATAATTATGTAGTTAAAAGTTTAAATAAGATATTCACAGTCCTTTCAGTATTAAAGTTGGACATGATTTGAGAATTAGACCAATAACTTCGCAGATGAAGTCAACATGTAAAGCACCAATAGTCTCAATATATATGGAATGCATTTTAATTTTATACCAAAGTGAGTTGTTGTTCATATAATTATCTTAATGAATAATAGTAATATTGGTTTTATATAATCAATTCAAATATTGACAAAAATAAAAATACCTATATGGTCTTGAAAGATTATTTCACGTCTTTGCTTTAGGAATACATCATTCCGCATTAAATACAGTGATATATGCACAGAGCTGTGTATACCTCCGCTTCTCGGTGTATGCATCTGTGTATATTAAATACAGTATACATCTCTGTTGATACTAAAGGAGAGTTTCATTTTGTCATTTAACTATGTTCAGGATTATAGTATTCATGCTGGTTAGTCAGTAAGAACATATTGTGGCCTTAATAATCCTCCAAAGCTTTATAGGCATTAAGCCCAACACTAAACCATCCACTGAACCTGTGAGGCGTGACTTAAGTATCTCCTTCACTCACAAGACATTTTACTGTCTTGTGAGGTGCTTATTGGTAATATCTTACTGCTGGTATTCAGGCAAACTAAGATATTGACTATTTGAGTGGTTTACTGTGTATCGTGGCGCAATGAATAAGTTTAATCACAGTTACATTACTTTTCAATCCTAACTGAAATTTTGTAATAAAATTTTGTAATTTGTCCAACATTAGAAAACTTTGAATTATATTTGTATAAAAGTCGATCTTAATTCATGAGTATCATTGTAATGAAATATTGAATTCTTCATATATTATTATGTACGTCACGGTAAAGGCTACTTATTTTGACTTCTACAGTTTGCAACCTGAGTTACTATTGATTTTAAAATTAAAATACTTTATTCATTAACGGATGTTAATGAATAAAGTTCATTAGTTTGGTTACCTTTTGTTGATAATGTTGATTGCACATAAATTTACAGCACGGTATTTACCTAAGAGAAGCGATGAGTCACAATAACGTGGCTGAAGTGGTTTGACCAGACCACACACTAGAAGGTGAAGGGACGACGACGTTTCGGTCCGTCCTGGACCATTCTCAAGTCGATTATGACAATGACTTGATAAAGTCGTTCCACAATCGACTTGAGAATGGTCCAGGATGGACCGAAACGTCGACGTCCTTTCACCTTCTAGTGTGTGGTCTGGTCAAAAACCTAAGAGAACATCATAATAATAACATAACACATAATATCTGTAAGACAATATATATTTTATTAAATATAAACAAGTTCTTATGGAAATATTTTCTCCCATCTATATTCACAGTTCGCTGAAGAAGTCGCGTACTGGTTTGACTGGAAGGTGACGGAGACCCAGTCGATCCCCACTAAGCGAAAAGACTTAGTAAATGTCATCTTTGAGTATGTATTCATTTCTTTGTTATGTTCTTTTGATTCGCAAGTTTGATAAGTTTTATTTAGAGACAGCTTATTTCCGATATTTAAAGGGTATGGATTGAACACAAAATAGTCTTTATACTTTATAACATTGTATTCAATTATCATAACTTTCAACATGCATACAAGATAATCATTGTTCGCTGCTATAAACGAATTCGCAAGAATAGGTTCGAGAATATTACGCATCCAGGAATATGAGTTAAAATTTAAGAATATAAGAAAGGAGAAGAATGTCATTTCTCATTTGTTTTCTCTTTTTTCCTCCTCATTGATGCCTCCCTACCCAATTCAAAAGCTAAAGTGGAAAGAGAGATGATGATGATGAACAGATGATGACAATCTACTATTATTCATGGATGATTATTCTTTGCAGTCCAGGCTAGAACACTGTTTAGCTTCCATCTTCACCTTCATTCTTACTCTCTACTCATCTTCATGTTCTCTAACCATCTTTCCACCTCGTTCTTGGCCTCACTCTTCCACCCATTCTACTACGATCTCTCGTAAGACACGAAAAAAATAAATATTAGTAAATAAAAGTTTTGAGGGGCATTGTTGATACTGTATGCATGTTAATCTTCCTCTTCAGCGTGAGCCTGGAAAGCACCTTGGAGGTCAAGACGCTACTGCCATGGTCGACAAAGTTCGGCGTTGGAGCTGGACTACATAATGTAGCCTCCTTCATTTTCCCTCTTTCTGTCCACACAAAAATAGATAATGAACGCACGGAAGTGAAAGTGACCATCGAGCCTCAAGACGGCAGCCAGGTAAGATGAGCATTTCAGCAGATGATACAGTGATGGTTGAGAGAGAGAGGCAACCGCAGCACACTAAACTTTCTGTTTCCCAGAATGGGAGTGAAATGATATGATAGATAATCTGGGGATATGTAATTAGTTATTTATACAACCCATTAATCAAGTTAATGGTTAATTTGGTTAATGTGTAAATGTAGCAATGAGGAACTGTTTAACTGTTTAAGTGAACGATAGTGACGTTTGTATCACTTAACGTCTGAAATTTATTACCTATTGTCGTTTTAGAATTTAGCAGAATTTAAGAAGTATTAACTAATAGTTTTAACAAATCCACTTAAGCAACAGCAATGCAAATTCCAGGAACTATTTTATAAATTCCTAACTTGCAGTTCCATATCAGCACTAATACCTGATTGATTTTCTCTGAGCCATGATAATAGTTATTTCACATTAAGATTTCATCATCCATCATACACTTCTGCATCTCAGGTTCAGTTGTTCAACTCTCACAACTACCCATTCACTGTGGTGACTGGCCCCTTCCCCACCGCTGTCCACACCCAACAAGCTGAGTACAAGAAGATCACCGCTTTTCCCCTAGAAACCTTAGTGGTAAGAACCTATGATTCTCAGAATATGTTACACACGAATGTGCGGCTTCTTTTATATTTTTTGGCATATGTACATTAGGAAATTTCGATGCTCTCAGAGCAATTGTAGTCATTATAATTCTCTCTACATAAATTTGTTCTTTCCTTCACAGCATAAGCATCAGGTGCTTCCAGCTATCGCTGGCCTCTCCGTTGAGACCCACTGGACAGCAGACTTTGTATTCCAACCAGACCTGGCAACCTTTTTGAGGTAATTTGTGTCTCCAATTATTCTCAGGTTGAAAAAAAAGTACACTTGGCAGTTAACGATACTAACAACTCAAAATAGCTTAAATCCATATTTTCACTAAATTCACATTTATATTTTCTCTTGGGATATTAGTGTGTACAATGAATGCTATTTAATTTGAATGCAACATTGGAAATAGTTTTTCGCAGCATATCAACATAAACCTCGATTAGTTAGGTGGGTTTGTATATATACTTTTGATCAAGGAATGAGCCACTTACATACTTTTGTATTTCAATTTCAACGAACAAAATTTTGTATTTCAATTCCGAGTGCAAAATTGGGAAAAACACAACTTTAATAGCATATTAATCAAACTTATTTATTTCGTATATTGTTCTATTTGCATATCTATATTTTTTTTATTTTTTTATTTATTTTATTTATTTATTTATATATATACAAGAAGGTACATTGGGTTTGTGAGAAAACATTGGATAGTACAGTATTTACATTCTTGTAAAGCCACTAGTACGCACAGCGTTTCGGGCAGAAACGATTATCAATTCTGTATGAGAAAATTCACTTGTTATTTTCAGCGATGATTTTGATCCACTGATCCCAGCGTACAAGGCTTGGGACTACACCATTCTGTATGACCCGGCTGCCAGCACCACAAAGAGCTTCACTTTCACCTTCACATATGGTAAGCACTGCATGATTAGTGTGTACAGTATGCATCTATATTGGTTAATAATCAGAGGATGTAAAATGGGAAAATTTTCAGTTCCAGTGACACTCTAAATAGATGAGCAACATAAATTTGTGTAGCTCACGTGGCCACACAAAATGAGGTGATTCGATGAAATATCAATGCCCAAGCTTACCACCAAGTGCTGTTGGGTCGTTGGGGATACAGCCTCGGCTACCAATGACTTTTCTTTTAACTGTCACGGTGGGTGAGTGGTTAAGGTACCAGGTACGCCAAGGTGCATAGTGCTACTGGCTGTCTGGGTTCGAATCCTTGTGGGGTGTGGAGTTTTCAGATGCATATTGGACCATTCAAACTTGATCGCATGCATATATATATATATATATATATATATATATATATATATATATATATATATATATATATATATATATATATATATATATATATATATATATATATATATATATATATATATATATATATATATATATATATATATATTATTAGTATATTTTGGTAGCAGTCTTTCTTGTAAACATATATTATTAAATATTATTAATCTTACTTTTCCGGCAAAATATTGCCGAAAAAGTAAGATTAATAATTCTAACACGAATTTTCTTTCGTTTTAACGCGTTTCGTAATAACTTATTACATTTTCAAAGACTTTAGTTTACACACACTCAACTATAACCTGCAAACACTATGCTATAATTTAAACAGCTTTCATTTTATATACCTGCATTTGGGTGAGGTGATATGTAACAACAGTTTTGGATGAGGTGAAAACAAACTTTCAACACAAGATAGAACACGAAACAATGGGTATAATATTGGGTAAGTTAAAGGGAAGACTGGAAGACACCATATATATATATATATATATATATATATATATATATATATATATATATATATATATATATATATATATATATATATATATATATATATATATATATATATATATATATATATATATATAATATAATATACGGAAAGTGGAGTTGGAGATCCTGTTGGAGAACATATTCGACCTCGAGACACAAAAAAAGGTCACCACCAAAGACACCTTACAAGCAGAATTTATCACAGAAGGAGGAAAGAATCGAGGCAACTACAGAAGCACCATACCGTCCTCCGAGCTCAAAGCGGCAGCTAAGAGCCTTCGTGAGAATAAGGAGATAGTCGTCAGGAGAGGTGACAAGTCGCCAATATACGTCATTCTTAAAAAAGACGAATATCTGGCGAAAATGAACCTCATACTCTCTGACCAAACTAAATTCCAAAGGGTAACCAAGGACACTACAGCCGAATTGAAAGCAAAGGTTAACAAGTTGATCGAAACTGTGAACGCCAAGAAATCCGGACTCCACCGGCCAAAGATTATTGGGGAATACAATCCTGGATATGCATATGGAAATGTCAAGACACACAAGCCTGGAAACCCACTTCCGCCAATCATCAGCCAGATATCCACACCCACGTACAGACTGGCAAAGCGACTAGACGGCTTGCAGACCCCTTATGTCCCTTGTGCCTTTAGCATGAATTCTCCAAAGGAATTTGTTGACTTACTGCGGGGAACACAGGCCGCAGGGATTAGGGCCTCGTTGGACGTAGAATCACTGTTTACCAACGTACCTGTGGATGAAACAATCGGGATGATAGCGGACAGAGTGTATCGTGATCCGGCCTGTATTCCTCTTGATATACCAGAAAACATTCTAAGGAAACTACTCCAAGCTTGTACTAAAGAGGCACCCTTCTTGAGCCCGGATGGGCACATGTATAAGCAAGTAGATGGGGTCGCCATGGGTTCTCCCCTAGGTGTCCTGTTTGCAAACTTCTACATGGGTACCGTCGAACAGAAGGTCTTAGTTGACATGAACTTGAAACCGGCCATATACTGCAAGTATGTTGACTACATTTTTACACAGGTACCTGATGTCAGACATCTGCAGCAGCTGAAGGAGGCATTTGAGCAGAATTCTGTGTTGCGTTTCACTTACGAGATGGAGAAGGATGGGAAGCTGCCCTTTCTAGATGTAACAGTCATGGAAAGGAGCGGAAGTTTCCACACTGCAGTCTGCACTAAGGAAACAAACATAGGAATGTGCCTCAATGCCAACAGTGACTGCCCAGACAGGCACAAGAGGAGTGTTGTAAACGCTTATGTCGACCGTGCTCTCAGTCATAGCTCAGGATGGAAGCAAGTCGATGAAGAACTCTGTAGGGTAAGGCAGGTCCTAGTCAATAACTGCTTCTCCAACGGTTTCGTTCAAGACATCAAAAGAAGGAAGGTGAAACGCCATGCAACCTCTGAAGAGACAACTAACACAACACATTTACTCCCTATTAGACTATTTTACAGGAACTTCTTTTCCACAGCTCATAAAACGGAGGAAAGGGTCCTGAAAGATATTGTTGATAGGAAGGTTATCCCTATAGACAAAAATCAGAAGTTACAATTGACGATTTACTATAAAACTAAAAAAACGGCCAACCTACTCATGAGAAACTCTCCAGACACAAAGCAGAACGCTTTAAAATAGACCAATGTCGTCTATGCCTTCAAATGCCCACTAGAGGACTGTAAGCCTCAAAGAACTCAGTATATAGGCAAGACAACAACATCTCTTTCCAGGCGATTAACGATGCATAAGCAACAGGGCTCCATTAAGGAACATATAATCTCTTCCCACAACCAGACCATCACCAGAGAAATCTTAACAAACAACACAGAAATCATCGATAGATACAGCGATAGCAGGCGGCTTGACATCTGCGAGGCACTACACATCAAGAAGTCAACACCAGCAATCAACAGCCAATTAATGCACAACTATATTCTACCCACTTCAAGACTCCGCACCAATATAGAAGCATCAAGAAATATGGGCCAATAGGCCCTTTGCAGTTACTTCCATTCTTCCCTTTAATTTACCCGATATATACCCATTGTTTCGTGTTCTGTCTTGTGTTGGAAGTTTTGTTCACCTCGTCCAAAACTGTTGTAACGTATCACCTCACCCAAATGCAGGTATATAAGATGAAAGCTGTTTAAAATTATAGCATAGAAGAACTCTGTTTAGTGTTTGCAGGTTATAGTTGTGTGTGTGTTAACTGAAGTCTTTGAAAATGTAATAAGTTATTACGAAACGCGTTCAAGCGTCGCGTCAGACTAGAAATAAAAATGAATTTTGGAGAATTGATTTTTTAATTACCTTCGACAGTGAAAAGAAACTTAAGAAATATTGACAAAATTCGAGTTAGAATTATTAGTCTTACTTTTTCGGTCATATTTAATAAAATATAATATACATATATATATATTCACACATATATATATATACATATTTATATATATACATATATATAATTTTCTCTGGATTACTGAAAACTTCTCAAGGAATTGCTCAGTCTGATTTGACAACTTAAATGCATCATTTCTCTATTATTCTTGCAGTGACCTTGGAGAAGTTAGAAGATGAAACGCAGGGTCAAACCTCGGAGCAGTTAACCCAAGAAACACAGGAGGCAGACTATTTTGACTTTGCTTCACAGTCACATGTTGGAGGAGGATCTTTAGAATTCCAAGTAGGATCCTGTCACAAGTTATATATATATATATATATATATATATATATATATATATATATATATATATATATATATATATATATATATATATATATATATATATATATATATGTATATGTATGTCCTACCTAGTAGCCAGAACGCACTTCTCGGCCTGCTATGCAAGGCCCGATTTGCCTAATAAGCCAAGTTTTCCTGAATTAATATATTTTCTCTAATTTTTTTCTTATGAAATGATAAAGCTACCCATTTCATTATGTATGAGGTCAATTTTTTTTTATTGGAGTTAAAATTAACGTAGATATATGACCGAACCTAACCAACCCTACCTAACCTAACCTATCTTTATAGGTTAGGTAGCCGAAAAAGTTAGGTTAGGTTAGGTTAGGTAGTCGAAAAACAATTAATTCGTGAAAACTTGGCTTATTAGGCAAATCGGGCCTTGCATAGTAGGCAGAGAAGTGCGTTCTGGCTACTAAGTACGACATATATATATATATATATATATATATATATATATATATATATATATATATATATATATATATATATATATATATATATATATATATATATATATATATATATATATATATATATTGATGCTGGTGTTCTTTTAGATATGTTTCACTGAATAGGACTGCATATTCTGTGTTTATTAGGGCTTCTATCCCTCTGGCTAGTGTTCTTGCGTTTTGGTTTAATTGAAGAGTAGTTCTGCAAATGTCATATTTTCAAGGCGACTAAAGGAACCAGTAAATTACTGTATAATATATTGTACTTATTATAATTTTCTCAATATTTCGAGCCTACAAAGTTCATTCTCAAGTTAAAAGTAACAAGATATTGGTTGATGAAGATGAAGCCACCCAAGAGGTGGCATGGGCATGAATAGCCCATGAGACAAGATATGAGGGAACATCTGATTTAGAGCACTGAGAGGTCAGGTACACTCAAAATTAAGTCAGGAGAAATGTGAAAGGAAAAAAAAATGAGTTGAGGTAGAGTGAGGAGATGAGTCAATAAACTAAGCATATAAAGATAAGTCAGGTGATAGGTGTAATAAATAAATACTGCAAGAAAGACATGGTTGGTCAGATTACATAAACCCGGACTTAAAAGAAGACTTCGATAATGATCTTATTAAGAGAATCTTATAGAAGTTAGAACACATTGGAGGAGTGGGATGTATACATCAAAACCAGATGATTGCCTTCAAAAATGACCAGGACAAAATAAGTGATTGGAGGAACACTACAAAATAAGTTATTGGAGGAACACTACAACTGTATTTACACACAACTGAGATTAGTAACTGACAATCCCGGGTGTTCTTTCCACAGCTTGGTCAAGGCGAGACAGACTCGTTTGGACAGCAGCAACAACTAGAGTCGCAATCGCGACAGCGCATTGTGAAATTACAGGAGGAACTGATGCCTGGTAAGTCATACTTCTCTCTCTAACTATCTCTGATCATGATGTGTGCACCATTTTCGCTCAGCTATATGCCTGCTTTTCGTTCTATCGTTAGATATCCTATATTCTTTATAGGCAACATATCATAATTAAATAGACCCTAAAAATTTATCTACTCTATAATAGAAGAATATGTTTCACAATAATAAGATTTGTCCCGTAACTGGCATTAATAATCCATAACTCGTGGTATTCTTTACATTTTCCTTCTTTCCTCTTGTTGTTTTCATTGTATTTTTGTACCTTACTCGAACTTTGGGCCCTACACTAACCCATCTAAGTTGTCAAGGCTGCTAATCCTTTAGAAGAGAGTATTTCTAATGCATTTCAATAAATTAGCATTTAGATGCAATTCGTACAAATAAGGGCAGATATTCTCCTAAATCCCTGAGCTGATCATTGTTATCTGTGATACCTTTTTAAGTCCTTATTTTACCCATTCCACTATTTGTTATCACCTGCCTGATTCTTGCAAGCATGCATTTTCTTCTATACTCACGTACCATTTTTATTATTTGTAATGTGACTATTACATGTTATCTCTTTCTAATTGATTGTATAATTATATTGTCTGGTGAATCTTGTCTTCACTTGTCTGTGTTGTCATCCCTGAATATATCTTGAGTCTTCCTGCTTGTTATTTTTTTAAATAAATTAAAGTGGATTTTAACATTGAAAACATGAATATTCTCTGTGGTTTATGGTGAATTTTAGAAATATTAAGAGGTTTTTACCGCTACTTGCACTCTGGGCTGTTTGTATGTATGCCCAACCACTTGTCACTTGGCCTGGACGGTGGAGCGACGGTCTCGCTTCATGCAGGTTGGCGTTCAATTCCTGACCGTCCAAGTAGTTGGACAACATTCCTTGCCCCCGTCCCATCCCAAATCCTTATCCTGAGCCCTTTCAAGTGCTATGTAGTCTTAATGACTGATAGTTCCCTTCCCCTTCAGGGCTGTATACCTATATATATATATATATATATATATATATATATATATATATATATATATATATATATATATATATATATATATATATATATATATATATGTATACCTATATATATATATATATATATATATATATATATATATATATATATATATATATATATATATATATATATATATATATATATATATACCTATATATACCTATATATACCTGCATTCCTGTGGACTGTATGGGCTTGCTCCAACTGGAGGTTAAATGTTTATGTAGGAGTGAAGACTAACTCCCTGCTGCAGTTACAGGTGGAATTGTGAGGACCGTGAGCGTGGGAGTGGAGCTCCAGGCAGCCACAAAGAAAAGGAGCTATGAGTCGGTGGTAACGTGGGTCATTAGCAAGACCGCCGGCGAGATCTTCACCAAGGTCCAGCTCTCGTTAATCAAGAACCCCGCAGAGGGCACTCTTGAAGAACCTCACGCTGTAAGATCCTTTTCCTAAGCTTGCCTTTGTGTGAAGTCTCCAAGCTACTGTGAAATTTGCCTGTATTATTCTGTCGTGTTCCTCGTGATAACTCCAATTTATTGTTAATTGTTCTTCCTTTCTCATAGTCATATATTTCACAACAGGAAAATGAAGTACAGTATCAAGACTCTGTACCCTTTCAGAGTCAAATATTAATTATACAATCAAAGCATGACTCCATTTTGAATTGTGGCAGATATTTCGCATCTCTAATCAACAATTTCTACAACTTTCCTTTAGACATGCTTCAACGTTCAGCTTGTGAAGCCAGCATTCCTTCCTATGCCAACGCTTGAAGAAGTGCTGAACGTCAATTTCCACACCACCATCGAAGCCACAGTTTTCGACGGGGAATCATGCTCATCTGCACCAGTTCTTGAAGTGCAGGTGTGTATATTTATTGTTATGTACCCTCACACACACACACACACACACACACACACATTGATTGGCGTGAAGTCACCAGTGGAGTCCCACAGGGCTCTGTACTCGGTCCTATCTTGTTTCTGATATATGTAAATGATCTCCCGGAGGGTATCGATTCATTTCTCTCAATGTTTGCGGACGATGCTAAAATTATGAGAAGGATTAAAACAGAAGAGGACTGTTTGAGGCTTCAAGAAGACCTAGACAAGCTGAAGGAATGGTCGAACAAATGGTTGTTAGAGTTTAACCCAACCAAATGTAATGTAATGAAGATAGGTGTAGGGAGCAGGAGGCCAGGTACAAGGTATCATCTGGGAGAGGAAATTCTTCAGGAGTCAGAGAAGGAAAAAGACTTGGGGGTTGATATCACGCCAGACCTGTCTCCTGCAGCACATATCAAGCGGATAACATCAGCGGCATATGCCAGGCTGGCCAACATACGAACGGCATTCAGAAACTTGTGTAAAGAATCATTCAGAACTTTGTATACCACATATGTCAGGCCAATCCTGGAGTATGCAGCCCCAGCATGGAGTCCATATCTAGTCAAGGATAAGACTAAACTGGAAAAGGTTCAAAGGTTTGCCACCAGACTAGTACCCGAGCTGAGAGGTATGAGCTACGAGGAGAGACTACGGGAATTAAACCTCACTTCGCTGGAAGACAGAAGAGTTAGGGGGGACATGATCACCACATTCAAGATTCTGAAGGGGATTGATAGGGTAGATAAAGACAGTTTATTTAACACAAGGGGCACACGTACTAGGGGACACAGGTGGAAACTGAGTGCCCAAATGAGCCACAGAGATATTAGAAAGAACTTTTTTAGTGTCAGAGTGGTTGACAAATGGAATGCATTAGGAAGTGATGTGGTGAAGGCTGACTCCATACACAGTTTCAAGTGTAGATATGATAGAGCCCAATAGGCTCAGGAACCTGTACACCTGTTGATTGACGGTTGAGAGGCGGGACCAAAGAGCCAGAGCTCAACCCCACAAGCACAACTAGGTGAGTACACACACACACACACACACACACACACACACACACACACACACACACACACACACACACACACACACACACACACACACACACTGTATTCTGCGAGTCTGCTCCAGATCAGTCACTAGTAACTTACAGGAGATACGTGCTAAAGATACTGGTCATTAGATAGGTGGATAATTTTTTCCTTCTTTCTTGTATACAATTTTAAAGTCTGGGGCTGATCTTTTGCGATGAGCTAAATATTATAAATAATGCCTACAATTCTCTAACGCCTCCTTTAATTCCTTCGTTAATATATTTCCCACTCTACGGTTTTCATAATAACAAGTTATTCTAATATGCAGAATCATTATTCTGCAGAATCATAAGTTATTCTAATATTCTAATATGCACAATCGACTTGAGAATGGTCCAGGACGGACCGAAACGTCGTCGTCCCTTCAACTTCTAGTGTGTGGTCTGGTCAACATACTTCAGCCACCTTATTGTGACTCATCGCCTGCAAGTTATTCTAATAGTTTTCCTAAATCTTCTGTATGTGTGTGTGTGTGTTACCTGTCATTAGCAATACAACTTGCACTTATGCCTGGATCATCACTCAGGGCACCTTAGACGTGAGCGACGAGGTCATCCGTCGCCTGAGGGAGGAAGTGGCCAAGGACTGTGACCTCGCAGACTCCAATCTCCTGCCCATAGATGTCATCACCTCTCCTCTCTACGACCACGCCCACTTCACAGCAAAATGGACTGAGGTATGGGACTATCATTGCATATGCAACATAACTGAGTGTTAAATGATCTGATCAACTTCAAGGTGGTTCCGTTTATTCTCTAAACTAAATGCTAGTTTTAAGTAACATTATTGTTTCCTTCCGGCACAGGATTATCCAGTTATCCTGAAGAACTTGACTTATCACATTGATGACATCATACGGCACTGCCTCTACCCCTTCACAACCTACGACCACACCGTCATCAACCCTGAGAACACCATTGATATTGATGCCACTAAGTAAGCATTCGTAAATGATTAATAAGTAATGTGTACTTGAATATGTGCATGTATGTATGTTTTAGAGACCAAGGTTCTTGTCGATAAGTATTACTTAATATTACCGAAATGGTTAAGTCACTAATTCTGGAACGAATCTATTATATATTGTCTAAGTTCTTGTTCACTTGGGAAACATGGAAATTTAAGTCTCCAAAATTAATTTTAAGTTTATGATTCGTTTTGCTCAGACCTGCTTTGCAATGCATAGTTCTTGCATGTGAACTGAGGGTGAGGTGGCCTGGTCGACGACCGGGCCGCGGGGACGCTGAGCCCCGGAAGCACCTCAAGGTAGGTAGGAGGTGGCTGCCCTCTCGACAGGATACGGTAATCTGGTCCTCTATTCTCATTCACCGGTACAATTTAATGCTTCTTCTGAGAAGTTATAACAAAATTATGATATATTACAAAATCAAATTGTACCTAAGTTTCATACATTGCCGTATGACAGATACTATTGATATAAACTGTTGATAAATTATGAAATTCAATATATGTATCTACTTTCAATTACTGAATTACGCTGATCGGTAGAGCGACCACCTTGATTCTTGTAGGGATTTTTGTACTTTAATCATATCTCAGTTTCTTCTCCTAAAAGTATTTCCTTCAATTGCTACATATTATATTGGAACCGCGCATTGTTTTCATATTTCATAATTACTTTTCTGTCCTTCTTCCAGATGTTTAAACTGCAACAAGTGGACCATAAGGAACGAAAGACCAGAATTGGTCTCTGTTACCAAAGGTCTATCACCACCAGTCATTCTAAACGAATTTTTAGGTCCAGCCGAAATACGTAACGTATTCTTCTACAACTTCGTACAAGGACGTACTTCATTCCAATGTACTGTCGAGACTACCAAGGTTTGTACACTAATTCAAGACTGCATTCCCATTTTTAATTCCTTTTACTCATACCTTCCTTTAGAAAAAGGAATTTCTAAACATCTTTAACTTAAAACTGTAGGTAACGGTAGTAAAGTTTTCCCTAAAACAAGAGAGTGTTAGTTTATTGAAGAGGAATGAACAGCAGCAAATTCTGTCACCATATGGGAGAGACAAGGCAGATTATATTGTTTTTTTTACTGTTTTTCAGGTGAGGACGCATGATGGTGTGAAGTTCCCATATCACCCAGACAACTGCTGGACGACTCTCAGCTATTTCCATCCTTTGTCTGAGGAGGAAGCGCCTCTAAATGCTGTTGTCTCGGCTCGGTTTACAGAGGAGTGGGAGGTGCGCATAGTTTGGAAGTTTGGAGGTTACCTCTACGAATTCACCAAATCACAGCTACTGGTAAGTTTGATAAGCAGTATTGGATTGAATTTAGTATTTTATTTTTTTGCATAAATATATTAATGCATTTAAAGAATAGACGATTTTGGTAAGTATTCGATGAATGTCAATTAAAATACTGTAGATTTCTTAGAAATTTATTCTTGACATGTGACAGTAATATTGTATGGTGTCAAGTGGTTTTTACGTAATATAAAAATAAAATGTTCTGTTTACCTTACCACCTTGCCAACAGGTGAATGGGGAGCCGTGTCCGGAAGGAGGAGACGATAACGTTAGGTTCATCGTACTGGAGGATGCCAGTTACTTCATGTTGAAGAGCGCCACATTATCTATTAAAGTCTCCGATAAAATTGAAGTCCTGGTAAGTATATATATATATATATATATATATATATATATATATATATATATATATATATAATTTACATTAGTCAAGGATTATGAACTAAAGTATTCTTGTCAATTATGGTGGCCTTAATGACCATGCAAAGGTTGACAGACCTTAAGCCCAACACCAAACTAAATCATCATACCTAAGGCCAAGCTTTTTGTCATCATGAAGTCCCTCAGAGCAAAATGGAATGGCAGTATAAGCTTCTTTATACATTTTATTGTTGTACTTAGTTATTCACATATCCAGCCTGTTTAACAGTGTATAGATTATAACAAAATGAAAGACCATATCAATGGTATTAATTTTGTTCAAAAGTTCTATTATCGATCTAAATAATGCAAACGAATGTTTTTCTTGGGATTTGACAATGAAAACGTCATTTTTTTTCCAGGAAGGGATTATGTAATCGGTATGATATATTATGAAATATATTCGATGTTCGTTCTTCATTGATTTGAGTTAAATTTTTATCAGGGAATTATCAAAGCCTTCCAACTACTAATTTATTGGCTTACGAAGGTAAGCTCGTTAGGCAAGATTTATCTTAATTAATATATATATTCTGCAGTATCCGTACATGGCGCGAGGATCAGTTGACGGACTGTGTGGGAGAATGGACGGAGAGAGGACCGGTGACCTGGTAGGACCTCAAGGATGCATCTACACCGACCCCAAACTCTTCGCCTTGGCCTGGACAACCAAAGGTGATGGCTGCGCCCAGTTCAGCCTTCGGGCTAAGAAGCGAGCGGTGGAGAACTTCCAGGAGGTGTGTCCCCGCGAGTCCCATGTCCCCACCGGTGTCTCCCACCCCAATGGTAAGTTGCATAGCTTGAGAGATTGACTGGGTGATCACTCAGTCACTCACTGGGTGGCCCGTTACACTCAGGGAATTACTTAAGTATATTTATTCATTGTAAAAGATCAGTAGATATACAGATATTTAATTGACTTAGGTATTAAACATCATGTTATGTGTTATCACAGGTTTTATAGAAACTATTAGGTTTATATGATGTGAATACGTATTATCTACATGTTGATTTGGTATCTAATGACAATTATGTTATTCCTTCACTCAGTTATATATGACTGCACGGCATGGCAATACATCGAACGGTTTTACGGAGACTATAAATGCAGAACGATAGACGCCACACCAGTGTGCAAGGACACATGCAAGGCGACCAGGAGCGTCACACTGCCTGTGAGTATAACTGACCTCACTTAAGGGATTTCACAGGAGCTGAGAAATATCCCATTTTGTTAATTTCATTAACCAATTCAAATATAACACAACTTTGAAGTAATATATACAAGTAACGTTGATTAATAAATTATATTAACGAGCATTATTGTAGCAAGAAAAACTTGATTGCCTAAAATGTCTTATTATTATCTCCAGGATGAGAAAATTCCGACGTTAATGTGTCTGTTTCTTTTTGCTTGAACAGCTCGCGTATGACTGCCAGGTCTTCGGACATCGCAAGAATACCACTCACCAGGAGTGTCACCCACACTCTATCATCACCACCTTCCCGGCCTCCTGTGTGCCCTAGAGCCTACACGGCCCCCGTCACCACCTTCCCGGCCTCCTGTGTGCCCTAGAGCCTGCACGGCCCTCGACACCACCTTCCCGGCCTCCTGTGTGCCCTAGAGCCTGCACGGCCCCCGTCACCACCTTCCCGGCCTCCTGTGTGCCCTAGAGCCTACACGGCCCCCGACACCACCTTCCCGGCCTCTTGTGTGCCCTAGAGCCTGCACGGCCCCCGACACCACCTTCCCGGCCTCTTGTGTGCCCTAGAGCCTGCACGGCCCCCGACACCACCTTCCCGGCCTCCTGTGTGCCCTAGAGCCTACACAGCCCCCGTCACCACCTTCCCGGACACCTGTGTGCCCTAGAGCCTACACAGCCCCCGTCACCACCTTCCCGGCCTTCTTGAGGTGACCTTTGTTAACATCACCTTCAAGAAGTGTCATCCATCCATTCATCCAATCACGCGCCATTGACATCACTTTTTCGAGCTTTCTGCGTGCTTCAGCAGGGGTTCTCAAACTAGGCTTATGACATAAGGAAACAATAGTACTACCTAATTTGCTCATTCCGTCTCATATTTGCTTTCGGAGAGCTTGCCACTTTCTTACTTCCACAATATTTCTTCGCAAATACCTTTTTCCCGCGTATTTTGCATTTGATATTTAACAGACGTGTTTGTATAGAATTGTGAAATGTAATGCAGTAGAAAATCTGTAAATTTTCTCACATTCTCTCTCTTATACGCTCCATCCCTTTCTCTTCTCTCTCTCCTCTCTCTCTCTCTCTCTCTCTCTCTCTCGCTCTCTCTCTCTCTCTCTCTCTTTCTCTCTCTCTCTCTCTCTCTCTCTCTCTCTCTCTCTCTCTCTCTCCTCTCTCTCTCTCTCTCTCTCTCTCTCTCTCTCTCTCTCTCTCTCTCTCTCTCTCTCTCTCTCTCTCTCTCTCTCTCTCTCTCTCTCTCCTGTTATTACCACATTAATGTTACAGTATGCATCTTTTATTACAAAATACAATATAATTTTACTTTGGATACTTTGGTACAGGTAAAATTGAAAAGCCATGATTCTCGATTTCCATGTGTGAACATTACTGTTGTATAGTTCAGTTATCTCTCTTTCAAAATAAAAGAAATTAATGAGGAAGTATTTTACTTGTGTTTAACCCTTCTAAAACCCTTTAAGTAAACGAGGAATCTAAGCGAATACTTAAAAATTAAATAAATATTGACTCTCACGTAAAATAAACCAAAGGTTAATACGTAAACCACTTTACGCATTAAATCTAGTTACAAACAATCTTCCATGTGTACTACCAAACTATAATACATTATAAGTTATATTAATAGAAACTGATGAATTTAAGAATTCTCTATATTGAATTAGGTAAATTATGCCCAGTAAAATCTCTCACTGATGGTGAACAGTGCATTATCTCAAAGCACATGCAGAGAGAGAGAGAGAGAGAGAGAGAGAGAGAGAGAGAGAGAGAGAGAGAGAGAGAGAGAGAGAGAGAGAGAGAGAGAGAGAGAGAGAGAGAGAGAGGACAAACCGACAGAGAATGGGAGAGGGAGACAGAGAGAGACCATATTCCTTCAATATCAGGTATTTTAAGCGTCAATGTCCATCTCCAAGGCAAGCAGCTATGACAGAAGAAGCTCCAGCGACCACACCCTGTCTGATAAGTGCGTCATCACTCCTCTCCAAGGCCAGGAGCTGTAACATAACGGACACACAAAACTCTTGTGACCACACCCTATTGTATGCCCACGAAAAGATAAATTAAAACGCATTGCTTCTATTAGATACGTAGTTATAAGGACTGGTTCAAATAGGTCTCCAAGTAAGGAGTACAGATAACTTGAAGGGGTGCTGTAAGTCGTCGGCTGTTCATGGCATAATGACATACCGATATCCTTATTTCGGTCTCAATAAAAGCTACGTTGAATCAGAATGTGACCAGACCTGGATGCATGGAAGAGAGGGAGTCTATCATGGCTGCTTAGAGAGAAGTAAAAGACTTTGTTGCAAAGGAAGGTGGATCAGGCCTGGTTACCAAGAGAGGTGGATCAGGCCTGGTTGCCAAGAGAAGTGGATCATGCCTGGATACCAAGAGAAGTAGGTCAGGCCTGGTTACCAAGAGAGAGATGGATCAGGCCTGGCTACTAGAGGTGGATCAGACCTGACTGTCAGGGGAAGATGATAAAAGCCTGTTGCCAGGTGAGGTATATCTGAGTACACAGTTATGAACAAGGTGGCAGGTTGATGGTCGGGTAGCAAGCCTCCAGGTATGAGGGAATCTAGCTGTGAACAACCTTGTGTACAAGCCTGTGTACAACCTTGACTGCCTGTGCACTCTCAATAAAGAATGTGAGGCATATGTTCGGTAAAAAAGGTTCCCTTGACTTATCTATCCATTATGCTACATTCTAGAAAATAACACAACAATAAGTGTTAAAATAAAAGTTAACTGCAATAGTTTAGAGTAATATAGTCCACTGATGAAGGGTAAGGTCCGCTGCAGTGATAATATTTATTAGGCAGTGAATAATGAGCTAGACCTCACTCCCTCGCAGTCACTGTTAGATAAATACATCCGGCCTTGAACCACACCTACCGGCTCCATAAATATTCTCAAAGAATTGTAATATATTTTGAAATATTGCACTTTAAACAAGCATAATATTAAAAATGCACTCTCTGTCCTATTATTATTTGTTAAAATGAATTATATGTTGAATTTGTAAACAAACTTGGATTGTATTAACGTTTCAGCTATTTTAATGAGCATTTAAAAAAACTATTCAAAACATATGAAACATATGTCTATCTTTTTTTATTCAGAACAAACAACTTGTTTGCCGACTGTAATTATTAGCAATGAAAAAATCATTCTTCGAAATTATCATTCACTTTGGTGCCCACAAGAAGACGAACTAAAAACGATACATTAAAACTATCGTACGTAACTTAATAAAACGCCTGTGTGTGTGACGTACAGAATAAATCAGTGGCAGCACCAGAAGTATCGAAGCATGAAGACTCAGAGGTTGAAACTATATTTTTATTCCATATAGGAATGGAAGAGTTCAAGTAATATCATAAGAAGTTCTGCCGCTTGACAGTATAGGTCATTCCTGTATTGGGTAAACTAAGTATATCTTAAAATTCCTGAAGTATGATCAAATATATATAACACACGAACTTGTGGAAGCTGTGCCTTGGGGCAGGGTCAGTATACCCCCAACATACTCCGGTTGCTTGAGCACCAGGTGGGAGGCGGGGTATATACTTACGTTCGCTCCTGAGCCTAAGTATAGCGAAGTTGATGCCGTATTAATATAGTTGCACTATTTTGAATCTCTGGCAGGGATATATGCCTGAGGGGTGCACCCTGTTTATCGGTATACACTGCCAGCTATTTCTACTGCTCCTTGAATAATGTCCAAGCTGCCCCTCTTATTGCAACCGTATTTCAGGCTGTTTCTTCTGACTGCTGCGGGATTGCAGGTGATCACCTTCACTTACTCTTTCCGGATTCTATTGTTGTTCCTGTAATGATATCTGCAAGTTCAACAACTTCTATATTATAAATTTTCCCAAATTTGTATTTCTTTTGTTTGAGACAGCTACGTTCTCACCATTTTTCTGTTTTTTTTTTTTTTACATTCATCGATTTTTCATTCATCATTCACCGTATTGAAGCTTTTAAAATTATTGGCTTACCAACTACTGTGTGTGTATGTGTGTACTCACCTAGTTGTGTTTGCGGGGGTTGAGCTTTGGCTGTTTGGTCTCGCTTCTCAATCGTTAATCAACTGGTGTACAGACTCCTGAGCCTACTGGGCTCTGTCATATCGACATTTGAAACTGTGTATGGAGTCAGCCTCCACCACGTCACTGCCTAATGCATTCCATCTGTTAACTACTCTGACACTGAAACAAATCTTTCTAATGACTCTGTGGCTCATTTGAGTACTACGTTTCCACCTGTGTCCCCTTGTTTGTGTTCCACCCGTGCTCAAGAGTTTGTCTTTGTCCATCCTGTCAACCACCCTGAGAATTTTGTAGGTGGTTATTCTGACTCTTCTGTTTTCCAGGGACGTGACAATCAGTTCCCTTAGCCTTTCCTCGTAGCTCATACCTCTCAGTTCCGGAACGAGTCTGCTGGCATACCTCTGAATCTTCTCTAACTTTGTCTTGTGTTTAACTAAATATGGACTCCAAGCTGGAGTTGCATATTCCTGGATTGTTCTGACATAGGTGGTATACAGGGTCCTGAACGATTCCTTACACAAGTTTCTTAAGGCAGTTCTTTTGTTGGTCAATCTGGCATATGCCGTTGATGATATCCTTTTGATGTGGGCTTCTGGGGACAGGTTCGGTATGATGTCAACTCCCCAGATCTTTCTCTCTATTTGATTCCTGCAGGATTTCACCTCCCAGATGGAACATTGTGTTCAGCCTTCTGCTCCCTTTCCTTAATTTCATTACTTTACACTTTCCTGAGTTGAACTTTGGAAGCCATTTTCTAGACCATTCCTCCAGTTTGTCCAGGTCATCCTGTAGTCATCTTCATCTGTCTTGGTTCTTCTCATAATTTTTGCATCATCAGCAAACATTGAGAGGAAGGAGTCTACACCCTCTGGAAGATCGTTTACATATTTAAGAAACAAGATGGGTCCAAGTACAGGGCCTTGTGGGACTCCGTTGGTGACATTTCGACACTCTGATGTGTCTCCCCTCACAGTTACTCGCTGTTTCCTGTTGCTTAGATACTCCCTTATCCACTGGAGCACCGTTTTACTGCTGCCTGTTATTCCGACTTTCGTAACAGCCTTTTATGGGGTACTGTGTCAAACGCATTCTGACAGTCCAAGAAAAGGCAGTCTGCCTGCCCTTCTCTTTCTTGCCTAATTTGTGTTGCTTGGTCGTAGAATTCTATTAAAACTGTGAGGTACGATTTACCATCTCTGAACCTATGCTGGTGGTGCGTTACAAAGCTAATTTCCCTCCAAATACTCAACGAGCCTTTTCTTCACGATCTTCTCCATCACCTTGCATGGTGTACAAGTTAGAGAAACTGGTCTGTAGTTCAGTGCCTCTTACCTGTCACCCCTTTTTGTATATTGGGACTACATTAGCCGTTTTCCAGCTTTCCGGTAGGCCTCCTGTTTCTAGTGACCTGTTATACACCATAGAGAGTCGCACATTTAGTGCCTCTGCACCTTCTTTTAGTATCCATGGTGAGATTCTGTCAGGCCCAACAACCTTAGTATTCACCTAGTTGTATTCACCAAGTTGTATTCACCTACTTGTGCTTGCGGGGGGTGGAGCTCTGCTTTTTCGGTCCGCCTTTCAACTGTCAATGAATCAACTGTTACTAACTACTACTAACTATTTTTGTTCACACACACACACACACACACACACACACACACACACACACACACACACACACACACACACACACACACACACACACACACACACACACACACACACACACACACACACACACACACACACACACACACACACACACACCCAGGAGGCAGCCCGTAACAGTTGTCTAACTCCCAGGTACCTATTTACTGCTAGGTAACAGGGGGCATCAGAGTGAAAGAAACTCTGTCCATTTTTGCTTCCGCTGGCGCCGGGAATCTATCCCCAGGCCATAGGACTACGAATCCAGAGCGCTGATCACTCAGCCACAGGTCCCGCCTTTGTACTCACCTATTTCCACACACCTGTGTGTGTGCACGTGTGTGTGGGGGGGGTGCATGCATCAACGTGGACAGAGTTAGGGCAGTATGACCATGAATGGAAGGGTGGTAGGCGTGGCCACTGACCACTTACAGGGGGGCAGGTACAGGGTTGGCCTGGACAGAGGCAGGTATATAAGACACCGACACAGACAGAACCTTGTATCCTTCAGCCTACGCCTCTCCGACATCATGAAGGTCTTGGTGAGTACGAGACATAGCAGAGAGACAAAAGACAGACAGACAGACAGACAGACAGACAGACAGACAGACAGACAGACAGACAGACAGACAGACAGACAGACAGACAGACAGACAGACAGACAGACAGACAGACAGACAGACAGACAGACAGACAGAGACAAAACAAGAGAGGGAGTAACACTAGTTACTGACTAAGCATCACAAAGAACGACTCTAAAATAGACCTGGAAGAGTGATCTTAACAAACAGCTGAAGAAGATTTGTTTTTGACTGAATAATTGAGAGATATTTTTCACGTAAGACAGATGTTCAAGGATAGTCTAAGATTAAACAAATCAATGTACTGAGTTCAAACTTAAAATGTCTGATTGAATACCCTTTTAGATGATACTGAAAAATTCCAATATGGTTAAATTTAGTATTTTTGTTTTGAGTATAAAAAGGAGTTACTAAATTCTATTTTTTTTTTCTATATGTAATGTTTACATTTTGTTTCTGGTACGGATTAATATCGTTCCTTTGTGCATTTCCGTAATTAATCTGTTCATATTCCTACTGGTAAGTGTTCTTATATACAACCTTTTACTTATTTATATATATATTTAATATTTTATGTATTTTATCTGCTTCACATGCTTACACTTAAGTGTCTCTGCTTTGAATAACTGTATGAGGAAGCCGGTCGGCCGAGCGGACAGCACGCTGGACTTGTGATCCTGTGGTCCTGGGTTCGATCCCAGGCGCCGGCGAGAAACATTGGGCAGAGTTTCTTTCGCCCTATGCCCCTGTTACCTAGCAGTAAAATAGGTATCTGGGTGTTAGTCAGCTGTCACGGGCTGCTTCCTGGGGGTAGGAGGCCTGGTCGAGGACCGGGCCGCGGGGACACTAAAGCCCCGAAATCATCTCAAGATAGATGATTCTAGCCAATGGCTTTTGGCCATTATGACAGCACTATTTTATCTCATTTATAAAATAGTCTCATTATATCGTTTCAGATTCTGTTGGCTCTTGTAGCCTTGGCCTCCGCCAGGCCTCAGTTTCTTCCATACACCGCTCCACTGGTGGTGAAAACTGCTGCAGGATCTCCGAGCCTCACATCCTACACTGCGGCCTATCCTTACACCGGCCTACCCTTCGCTGCTCGTGGCTTCCCCTTCACAGCCGGCACCTACACTCCCAAGACCTACGGTGCCGATATCTACACTCCCTTGACCTACTCCGCTGGGATTTTCAAGGGGGTCGGAGACAAGAGAACCAAGCGCTCAGCAGATGCTGATGCTGATCCTCAGTTGGTCTTCACCACTGGAATTCCCCAGGTGTACTCCAGCGGTATCCCTCAAGTGTACTCCAATATCCCCAAGGTTTACTCCAGCGGTATCCCTCAGGTTTATTCCGCTGGTATCCCTCAGGTGTACTCTAATATCCCCAAGGTTTACTCTAGCGGTATTCCTCAGGTCTACACCGCCGGTATCCCTCAGGTTTACTCCACCGGCATCCCCCAGATATACTCGAAAACCGGTACTCCTCAGGTATACACCGCCACTCCCACTGGAGCAACCAACATTCCCTTCGCTGGCTACAGCTTCCCTTACACGTACAGCGTCCCAACTATCAGCTCCCCGAGTCCCACTACAAGCTTCGTGGCTCCCTACAGCAGCGGCTTCCCCCTCGTCACACCCATTGTAACACCCGTCAAAGTTAAGACTGAGGTTAAGGACAATTAAATGCTGAACCTTTTGAAGATAAAAGATGCTGTCTCTCGTCACTCCTACGTTGTATGTTGGGTTGTGTAGGGATGCACTCTCTACGTCAAGGAGTGTAGGCTCAACCCATCCACTGTTCTACTTGATCTGGGTAATATACCACTTCCATTATCTACAACAGATTTCTGAGAGTGGCGTTGATGTTCGAATTTTCTTCTGGTAAGTTTAAAACTGTTGGATTTTGAATTTCTGTCTATTGGTAGAGTTCAATAGATAGGGATTGCAGGTGGTAATTTGACAACTGAAGCAGCCAGTGTGATGCCTTGTTGATATGATCACTCGCCGACGACTTCTCCTTAGTGTTCGATAAGTGTTCATTCTATTCCTTGAAAATATGTGTCATATTGCAAAATAAAAATAATAAATATATGTAACATGAAATTTAATTTGGCCTTGAACAGGTAAACAGTGTTTTTTTTACTGTTATTTAGTGTAAAATAAATTGTCAAACACACATACACACGCGAGTCTAACCCCAAATATAGCTCAGGATATGAAGGAAACAGCGGTCTTCTTCAGAAAATGAAAACCAGTTGAAAGTAAAAATAATTCCAATCAAGTGCCAGAAGCACACATTAGCAAAAGAACATCAGTAGTATACGCCAGATTGGCCAACATCCGGGTTACCTATTAGAAACTTTGACAAAGGAGCCTCCTTAACCTTATTTTCTACCTATGTAAGACTAAATCTTCAATATATTACCTCCTGCCTTAATATTACACAAAGAAACAGAAAACAAAGCTTGTTTCAGTCTTATTTTGTATTTTGTATTTCAAAACATTCCCGAAATTATTCTTATCCCATCTACGAAAATATTTGTTTGGTTATAAATAAAATAACTTAGTTAAACATATTTATGCATTACGACTTTTAAAATATTTTACAAATTAAAATACAAAACTGAGAGAATAATATGAACATATTAATTACACAATTAATATATATATATATATATATATATATATATATATATATATATATATATATATATATAATAAATATACATATATATATATATATATATATATATATATATATATATATATATATATATATATATATATATATATATATATATATATATATATATATATAAATAAAAAAGGGGAAGGGAGTACCACCTCTGGCTGGAAGAAGGGGGGCCCATAGCCTCGGAGGAAACCACACATAACGCATTGGAGGGAATGTAGGTCCCCTCCAATACAATTTCTGTGTGCTTTTCTCCTACCACCCCCTTCCTTTTTTTTTTTTTTTTTTTTTTTTTGCTTTATTGTGTATTTAAAGGTTACAAAACATACAAGACAAATGCCTAAAGGTTATGGATCTCATAACCTTTCGGCCCTAAAAATATTCTGTCCTTCTGCACATAGGCGAGTAGAAGTCTCGACTCTTGTCTGTCCCACACACAAGGAGTAACCAGTCAGAACAGCTTGGGTCTGATCTTGGAGCATATCAACCTCTTTATTCATTTAGGCCTTTTACCCTCTGAAGGGATATTAAGGATCTGTGAACCTCTGGAAGGATATTTAGGCCATGAAATGAAAGCTAAATGCCTGGCTAGTAGGTATAATTTTGTCCTGAGCAGATTTCTATATTAAAGTAAATTTTCAGTGTTTTTTATCCAATGTATATTATCATATCAATGTCATTGGATAATCCTTCTCGTGAGCGTGGCACTTGCACAAGTGGAACGAGTAGTGATGGGTAATTCAGCAATTCTTCTGTTGTAAGCAACCCTCTAAGGTGTCTTAAGGATCCTCCAGTAAATTACTCCCTAAACTTTGTCATCTTCTTCAAATATATTAAGTATTATATCTCTTGTGTCTGTTTTGAGAAACAAATGACGGCTGTATTGAATTCTGAAATGAATTAGTAACAAAAGTGGTATTGATTGCTCCCATATATGAGGCCACTCTGGCATAATATTAGTATTCTGCGAAACATTTTTCAACTTTGGAATGTCCATTGTCCATTCTTGAAAAGAATGCTGATGTTACTCCTTTAAACGTCGACTATATTCTAAATCGTCTTCTAACGCAACACAGTATACATTCCCCTCCTTGACTAGTCCACCTTGGGCCGCCTCGCCCCCAAGGCTTCGCGAGTCTTCTGATACACGTCCATGAAGAGGAGCGTGCCCCCGAAGACCAGCAGGGTCCCCAGCCAGTGCTGCAGGGTGAAGGGGTTCTGGAAATAGAGGATGGAGAAGACTAGGGACAGGAACTTCCTGAGGGTGAGGACCAGCGCCACGGTGAGGGCGGTGCACTCAGAGGTCAGCTTGAACACTGAGCTCACACACAGGTATCTGGCGTATAAGGGTTAAGGTGAGATCGGAGGAAGCAGTTTGGCAATGTTAGTATGTGTGGCCAGCCCGTTCTTTCGATTTGCCACAACGTACGGGATACATAGAGCAAACCTATCCTTAGCGTGTCAACCCAATGCAGGCGATGAGTCACAATAACGTGGCGGAAGTATGTTGACCAGACCACACACTAGAAAGTGTAGGGACGGCAACGTTTCGGCCCGTCCTGGACCATTCTCAAGTCGATTCTCACAATCGACTTGAGAATGGTCCAGGACGGACCGAAACGTATAACAGACTCAAGGCTCTCAGAACTGTAGTGGGGTACAGCCCGATATATGGTGTTAATATTAGAATAGCAAGAATGACGTATTTAGCATATATAAGGTCTCTGATAGACTATCATGCACCAGCTTTGGTCCTGCAAAATGGCAAAAGTATTGATAGACTGGAAAAAATGCAAATTGAAGCACTCAGAATTATACTTGGCTGTCCTATAACTACCAAAGTTCTCAACATACGGAAAGAATTAAATATACTTAGCATTAGAGATAGAATATTTGAAATTAATCTTATGATGGGACTAAAGCTTCTGCGAGATAACAAAAACCACATTGTGTCAGTTGCACTGTTAGAACACATACGAAATGGAACTAGCGAGTCTAAATGGATTCAAAGAACAGCCACTCATATTAAAATGATGGGACTGCACGATGTATATACAGATGAAAGAGTACAGCACTTCCTTCCACCCTGGCAGATAGTACCATTTGACATCTTGACCCCTGCATACCCCACTAAGAAACTAATCACAAACAACCCTCATGCTCAGCTTGCTGCTAAATTAAGCACCATAGAACACATTCACAATATACAAGCTGAAAACAACATTGCACAGACCATATACACTGACGGATCACCCAATACAGCTACAGGGAGGGCAGGAAGTGCTGTTCTTGCTCATCAGCCCGATGGCAGCACAATTCAAAGGAATATCCGAATTAGTAATTGGGCGTCCACAATGCAAGCCGCGTTGGTAGCAATACTGGTAGCACTCGAAATTATTAACAACACTGAAGTAGACAGCTTAATTATTTCTGACTCCCTTTCCTCATTACGAGCAATAAACAGTCTGCAATCAAGTAATAACGTGCTTGTCTTGGAAGCTAGTCGTAGATATATAAGAATACTTAGCAAGAGGGTAAATATAAAAATGTTGTGGATTCCTTCTCACATTGGCATGCAGGAACATGACAAAGTTGACGCCCTTACTAAGGCTGCAGTAAATAAAGACGGTATTGAACGGAATCTTGAGTTATCAAATGACACCATTAAAAGTGTCATTAGACGAGAACTCCTGGATGAATTTGAAGAAAGTAGAACTGTGCAAACTGGAACTAGCAGGTCCATTATTCATCACAATGAAATGTGTGAAGTAAAACATGTGTATGGGGCAAGTAACAACGTCAGTAGACTAACAGATGTTGTCACAGCTCGTATAAGACTTGGCTACAAGTATCTCTGGCAGTTCGGCTTGTATAGGGATCTAGATGAAGTAAAGTGTAAAGTGTGTGGATAAAGACAGGGACACACACTCGAACACTATATCTTGGATTGTAGTAAAATTGAGCCATTTAGAGATAAATCTAAGCTCACTCTGTATGATATGGCAACCTATCTTATTACCATGGATAAATTACCTGAAATTCTTGCACTGTACCCACATTTCGCTTCCAGTAGATGAACGACATATGAGATTCAGAAACAAGTAGTGTATTGTGAGGACTAATAATAAACAGAAGCTCCCCTATGACTCTGCAATATCCCCATTGGTCAAACTATTATGTATTTGCGATAAGACCTACCATTAATGTATGATGACTTACTGTAAATATATAGCTCTTGAAATAGCACTTTCTCTGTAACTAGCTGACATTGTAACTAAAAGGTGTGAAGGATAGATGAAATTGTTTATGTAATAATCAAAGATGAGGTCTGATAAAGACCTTTTGTGCCCTCTGTAATGCTTTTGCGCTACCGCTCACAGGATTAGTATGGGGTGCACAATAAATTAGCCGCCTTCGGCGGAAACAATCAAAATCAACCCAAGCAGCCTACCAAACCTAACTTTCCGATGCATACAAACGTAGGTATTTTGTGAGCCGCTGCTATTGATAGTACTTTGTAATGTGTACACTGGGGATCATAAAGTACATAATGAGACGCATTAGTTGAGAGGAAGAGTTGCAGGGAGAGTGGATGGGTCATCTTCATGAGGTTATCTTGAGAGGATTTCGGGCTTAGTATCCCCGCTGCCCGGCCCTCGACCAGGTCTCCTTTTTGTTACACACCCCCAGGAAGCAGCCCATAGCAGCTGTCTAAATCCCAGGTGCCTATTTACTGGTAGGTAACATGGGGAATCATGATGAAAGAAACATTTTGCCCATTTGTCTCCGCCTCCACCGGGGGTCGAACCTGGAACCTCAGGACTACGAATCCGAAGCGCTGTCCACCCAGTTGACTCATCAACTCCAAGACCCCAAAAATAAACATATAAAGGATACTGTGTAAGGACGTTGCCGGCCAGGAAGATCCAGTGCCTGGGTACGCGGGCCAGGCCTGGCACCCCAGCGAGGACAGGGAGCACCGCAGACCTGCTGAAGCGCCCCGCGTGATCCGCTATGCTGGACCACGTCAGCAGAAACCCCGGCAGCGACAAGGTGTGCTGGGGAGAGAGAAAGACAACATTTACTTATCCATCAGCCATATGAGTAGATATTTACACTTGGGGTGGAGGGTAGAGCGACGGTCTCTCTTCATGCAAGTCGGCGTTCCATCCCCGACCATCCAAGTGGTTGGGCACCATTCCTTCCCCCCCCCCCCCCCGGTTCCATCCCAAATCCTTATCCTGATCCCTTCCAAGCGCTGTATTAATCTGTGTAAACACTATGCAAATAAAGGGACTCATTCAATGGAACTCACTCCCTAATGAATTGAAAAGCTGTCCAACTTTTGCGTCATACAAAACAAAACTAAAAAATACCTAATTTCATCTTCATAGTTTTTTACCTTGTTGCTTTAAAATTGCACTGTATCTGTTGCTACCCAATCTCCCAATCTTTATGTACCCAGTCCGAACATCTTTACCATTGTGATCATTGCTGTCTTCTTATATGTGCTATTAATCTGCTGTATGGTGCCTATTAATCTTGTTTAAATTACCAATCAAGTTGTAAATGTAATCAATCAGAGCTTTAATATACCAATGTGCTTAAATATACTTACTAATCTCTCTCATCTCATTTTTTTCTTGCAATGTATCTGTTTTCATTTTATTAATTCTGCTAGAATTTACCTACTTAAAATTATCTGTTAGATTAAGGACCTGCCCGAAACGCTGCGCGTACTAGTGGCTTTACAAGATTGTAAATACTATGCTATGTATTCTCTCAAACCCAATGTACCTTCTTGTATATAAATAAATAAATAAATAAATAAATAAATAAATAAATAAATAAATAAATAAATAAATAAATAAATAAAATATAGCCGTAATGGCTTGGCGCTTTCTTCTAATAACTCCCTTCCTTCCCTTTTAGTACTTTTGTATCTTTTTCTTCTGTTCATTTGAATAAATTGTCATCCACACTTCCGGGGAAATAAACAATCCATTCACCTGGGCTCTATGAGACTCGAACCGTGGTCCCCGATAGAGCTTCGGCCTCACACGCTTGGGGTCCAGGATTCGAGTCTCCTAGAACCCAGGTGTCTGTTTATTTGTGTTTTTTTTTTACTGGGATGTTCTTCCGGTATTGAACTCCACCTCCTAGGACCCACTTTCTTCACCGTTAACCGTTTGGTGTAATTATTCTCAACTGTCTTGTTGTTTATAAAGCAATTAAGAGCCTTCTCCTCCTTACACTCTAGCACATAACACTCCAGATTCTCTGATTTAATATTAATTGAGAAAATATGTCAATTAAGATTTTTCTTACAGAAAATTGGTTGCATCTCCCCCCCCCCCCCCCATGCAACATTCACCATGCAAAATTGATCTGCAACACAGTTATATCTGTTAACCACCAAAAGACAGGAGCAGCAGAATAGACTCCCCCCTCCACACGTGTCCTTGTATCAACTGGTGCTACATTGTGCAGAAATCAGTAGTACGAGCAAAATATGTTTATTCCCTAGGAACGTGCATGGTAAAACTTTATCACAAAGTTGTGTACTCATTTTCCTCGCCAAACTATAACAATGAAACTCAATATATAAATGATTTTATTCTGAACTTATATCATTGCAAGCATGCAGGTGTTAGTCCTGCATTGTTGTAATGATCGTTATCTGTGACTCTCACTAGTTTTGAACTTGAAGTCATATATAAATATGTAAAAGATTATCTATGTTTCTTTGTCCGAGGCTGGAGGCCAGATACTTGCGGCTCGAGCAACTTTCCAAACAAGAACATACAAACACAACTTGGTGAGCTGTGTTTGTATGTAGAGTGTCATAGATGGATCAGAGTTGACCCAATCCTCTTTAATTACGATTGTCTTCTATTTCTATGTGTGATGGGGATTTTTGCATCACGTAGCTAATTTCTTGACACACTCTGTACTCCCCTTCATATAGTCTAGGGCAGCTGCACAAATGCAGATGTACTTAAATGTGTTATTAAAACAAAAATCATCACACTCACGTAACTACAGCTGTTACAAATTTTCATCAACGTAACAATTTAAAAAATAACGTTGGGTGTTTGTTGCTGAGTATATTGCATGTTTTGAGATCAAGAGAGAGAAAACGGGGGGGAGGAAAGAAGAGGCAAGGAAAAGATCAGGAGGTAGTGAGGGAGAATGGGAAAAAAAGAGGGAGAGAATGGGTGGGAGGAGGAGAAAGTGAGACAGAGACCTGGGCAACAGCGGGTACTCTCTCTAGTAGCCTGATTAACAAAGGCTGACCACACCTAGACATAACGACAGCCGTTGGACAACATCTGCTTGCATCATTAAGACGTAAGCAATTCTCACGGACTGATTGTGACTAGACTCCGGCTGCCTGCACTGTTTGTTAACACTGGCCCGGGACCTCGGATGGTTCATAATAGGCAGTGCTAATCGTAATCAGTTAAGGAGAGAGAGTCAGAGAACTTTTAGGATGTGAATGAGCTTTTTCATGATCAGAGAATAAACTCATCACTGGCGACTCCAGCATAGATATAAGTATAATCCTCAGTTGATGAGTCTGTCATTATTATAAGAATTATACATATTTTGGAACTGAGATCCAAGTATCGATCTCCTGAACATCACACGATAACACAGGCTGAACACTCGTCATGTTATTTGGGATCTTGACGTATAATTATATTTGGTCGATTAAAGAGTTTTGAACCAC